ACTACTATACCAGTTGCAAAGCCATTCCTCACACTATCAAACTGTTACCAGCTCAGAGCTAAAAGCATAAAGAAAAAATGTATCTGCTTTTTACTGATTAAAATGGCACTGATTTTGTGCAAAATAAAAGTAATTATTGTGAACTAAGACATTTGTTGCGTATTCTTTATTGTTCGTTAGCAACTTTAAAATCTAATTTGAAATCTATTTGATTTTACTACTTTAACTTTAAAACAAATTAATTGCTACAAGTGGAGCACATAGTACATTCTGTTTTTTCTTGAGATATTTTCAGGATTAAACTAAATTTTGGACGTAGTTACCAACTCCAGGTGAGCAACAAAAGTGATCCAAATAAATATTACTTTATCAAAACTTTCAAATCACCTGTCAATATTTTTGTCACTATTATGATAAGAATTCTATTGTGTATTTTCTTTTTGACACTAATGTTGCTTAATTTAAATTACAATTTATATGTAAAAACTTTGATTCCCATATAAATATTTTGTTGTGTTTGATATCTTTAAGTGTGCATTCACACTTGTACACACCACATCAAAATTGGGACTTAACCTGGGACTAAACCTGGAACTAAACCAGGACTAGAACCCAACCAGGTCAAATCAGGACTAGACTGGGCTCAAACCAGGACAAGTGTGAACCCACCCTATACCCCCCTATAACTCTATCATTTTCCCTAATAAATGTGGTGAATACTGTAATTCTTAGCAGCCATATCTCAAGTTTTAACATTTGTTTCTTTTCTTTCAGATTCCCGTGTCTTTGTCTCGTCATATTGACATTTATCTGCTCAACGACATGGACGTAGATGTCACAGATACAGACAGATAACTACAGCCGAACTACAGTCAAACAAATGGTACTATGTAAACCAAGTGAGGACTTTGAGCTAAATACATGCCATGGCACCATCAAGAAAGTACTACTAGTATTTACTACTTCTGCTGCTGCTACTACTACTACTACTACTACTACTACTACTACTACTACTACTACTACTGCTATTACTGCTATTCCTATTTCTACTTTCTATTTCTTAGAACTCGGGATCGTGTTGCCATACCTCATAGAATTTTTTTAGCCTAATGATAAACTAGTGGAGAGTTTAAGATGGTAAATACCAAACTTGGTATTCATTTAAAAGTCATCTGACACTCGTGTGACAAATGTATTAACCTTGACTGGGATCCAGAAAACACACTTCTTCAGTACTTTATGAAGATGTGCATCTGGTCAGAAGGGCGTGATTGAGGGGGATTAGCTAATCTGGGACACACATTGTCCTTCTACATCAAAACAAATGTGGCTGCTTAGGAGGAAAAAAAGGAAAAGTATATCACATGGGACTGAAAAACATCAGATTTCTGCAGAATCAATGAGCAAAGCACTAAACTCTGTTCATCTGAGTTGAGACTGAGAGAAATGTGATTTAATTCTAAATGATAGATGACCTCCTTTCTTTCACATGAACCCCCCCCCCTCAAACTTAAAAAAATGAATAAATGGCTGTATCTCTGGGTATAAAAAAACAGATATATCCAGTGTTTCCTATAAATTTTGTTCAGATTATGGTAGCACAAATACTTTCTACATTCATAATTTTCTTTCTTACCATTTGTGGAGTTTAAATGTCACTTATTGTCTGTATTTTACAGATATTTAAGCAGTCTTTTTGAACAGTATACCTACTCATTATGTTATATATGGAGCAACAAAGTGAGACGTTTAGTCCATGTTCTTTTTAGACTATGGAGGAGAATTCTAGACTATGGGGGACCACCACAGTCTGTTCTGTTCTTGGGAAAGTGTGGATATCATCGTGGACTTGCCGCACAAGTATTTACCAGTTTCTGATACCAAGTTCTATTACAATTACTGCTGCAAAAACTATACTTGTACTATAACTGTTACTACCATTACTGTTTCTACTATAACTGCTGCACGAACAACTACTATTTCTGCTTCTACTATTACTACTACTTCTACTGCACTCCTATACTCCTACAACTACTCTTACTACTACTATGACTGTGACAACTATGCTGTTACTATCATTAATACTTTACATTGTGTCATAATTAAACAGAAACAGGCAGCTGCAGTATGGTTTGTTTGGTGCTCTGAGCTGAGAACAACATGTCAAGTCAAGTGCTCTACCTCCACTAAAGCTGCATTCACACTGGTTTTGTCCTGGTTTAATCATGAGTTTAGTCCTGATCCAGACTTTGTTTGGTCCTGGTCTAGCCTCAGTTCAGTCCTGGTTCTGTCTAGAACTGGTTTAGTTCCAGTTTAGATGTGGTGCGTGTGTGTGAATGTGAATGCAGACTAAAAGCACATTAAAGCATTTCTGAACCAGTATCGAAACCATGTAAAAAATAAAACTGTTGACAAAACACCACATATCATTTTCAAATTTATATATATATATTTTTTTGCTTTCATAGAAAAAAAACTAGAATAAACACACTGTACAAAAATGATTAACTAACGTGCTTACTTACAACACAAAAAGGCAATTTGGGCATTTCAAGATCATAGTTTTCAAGCTTACCTTAAGTTCTATTTTAAATGATGGCTTTCACATTTTAGTGCCTTATTCCTTAATACATTTTTTTATTGTTGTTTTTTTAAGTTTTACTAACATGAAGTAGTTTGACTTGAATATATTTATTCTCCAGACTACATATTATGTTTGTTGTTGAATATTATAGAAGTCATAAGAAAATGTCAAATATGGCATTTATTTATTGACAAAATTAATTGCAAAATCTTTTTTTTTTCTTCTTCTTCTTTTTTGACCAACTGTGAGTTTAAACTTACACTCCTAGAACCAGTTAGTTTTAAACTATACTTCTTTTTCAAACAGATATTTACCAAAATGGGATTTGAAAAAGCACCTTGTCATCCAAGTACAATCTAAATGTTTGTCTAGTGTGTGACATTGTTTTTCATTTGACTCATTCCTTTTGATCAAATATTGTACTGCTCTGAAATGCCAAGCTTTAAAACACTGAGCACTTAAAACTTTGAAATTATGCTTTTATTTTGAAATCCAGCCAGTGAAAAGTTGTTTGTCCAATTCCAATTTTGGGAGATCTCTTTTCTGAGTTTTTGATGTTTTTATTCCCTTCAATAAAACATATTTAATTGTATTTGTATATACATTGTTACATTGAGAAAAATTATGTACTTTATCAATATAAATTGGATCGTTGAAAGCCATTGTACTGTTATTTAAAATTGTAAAACCATTATAAGAATTTTATGATGTTTTGAGATTTATAAGTTTTGAATAGTAACATGAATAAAATGTTGACATAAAAAGTTTAAAAACATTTTTTTAATAAAAATTTGTACATATGATGTGGGAAAGGTAAATGATATATTGCAGTAATTATTCTTTATTATAGCATCGTCTATATATCCCACTATCGTTCCAGAAAATTGCACCACTCCAATTCCAGGGATGCAGCACAAAGTGGTACATGTTTTATAATACACACTACAAGCTGTGTAAGTGACTCTACTCAACATACAAATGAGAAAATATCCTAATGTCATATTCATTGGAATTTACTGTTCGATCAACTTCAATTATTGTCTTTATACATTTTCTCTTATTAACAGTAAATTCTAAAATTTTCCATAATCGTGTTATTACTTGTACTGTGTGGGCAGCAGTAGCTCAGTGAGCTGTCAGATCCACTGACCCACAGTGTGGCTGGTGTGTCTATGTACACTGGTGTGTGAATGTGTGTGTGAATGGGTGAGTGGTTCCCTGTTATAAAGAGCTTTGAGTGCCTTGAAGGTGGAAAAGCTCTATATAAAAATGTGACCATTTACCATTTGACTGTGTATTTTTATTTATTACCTAAAAAGTTATTTAACTCTTCTGGTAAGGATTGGTCTGCCACCTACTTGTCTCCCTGGGGGTCTTATTGCTTTCCCTGGAATATTACACAGTTTGGCATTAAATTATTTATCCTGTAGGTATTTAATTGCTCAAAAATAACTTGAAAAACATCTATTCTTACAGCAAGCAGACAGGGACGCTTCTCCACAGACTTGGCCCGGTGCCATCACCCGCTTGTCTCCATGGGGATAGTAGATAAGTAGATTAAATTTCCAAAAGGAAAGTTACATAGTGCACTTTTAAATAACAATTCATTTTAGGAAGAATTTTTCTGTTTCCTTGGTAACGGGGACGCTCGCACCTTCCTCTCCACGCGGGGCGCTGATCACTTCCTTTTTGTCCTTACGCTGTCTACGTCACCAGATTTCACCAGCGTGGACATCTGTGGAGTAGAAAACACTGATTCAAAGCTTTAAAGTTCGTACAAAAGTCACTGAATTCACCGGTTTCGGTTGGATTTTATCTGTCAATCATTGCTAGCGCTTTAGATAAGTTTTGAAAATAAAAAACGTCTTATTTGGGCAGTAAATTCTATCTTACAGTGCTGCTGACTCGTACTCATCACTGCTGGATTCAGGTGAAAAGATGAGAGATTTGTTTGTATTTTTTGTGCAAATCGCGATTTTATTTCTCCTCCTGGACTTCACCCAAGCAGCCAGGCAGCCCCAGGACATTAGATGTGGAGGTAGGTTTATTTTCATTGATGTACGTGCATATTTACGTGAATAATAGTCTTAATTTTGGGGGTATCTGTTGCTCTCAGCTTGCAGGGCCCTTGTGGATGAGATGGAGTGGGCGATCTCGCAGGTAGACCCCAAAAAGACAGTCCAGACCGGGTCATTCAGGATCAACCCCGATGGGAGCCAGTCCATCAGAGAGGTGAGTCCTGTTTATGAATGATATATAAGGCCTATAAAGTCATGGTTCAAGTTAGTCATAAATATTCTAATCAATTTACCATACACACTAATGAATTACAACTTTCAAGTGGAAAAAATCTATATTTAGTCTATTATTATCATGAAATAGTTTGATTTAAAAAAACTGATCAGTATTCAAGTCCATTAATCGCTTAATCATAATCATAAAAGGTCACTCAAACATTTGTGAACAAAATAAAACACAACTCCCTGTATGCGTTTGATGAGGTAACAACATTCTAACTTGGCTTAAAGCTCACAAGAGTCAATTTTGCGTGATATAGAACCTTTAATAATTAAGCTTACTAGACAATGCTGGTATGATTAAAAATGTAAAACAAAAAGTTATTATAGACTTAGAGATTTTGGCTAAACAGACAGATTTTTTTTTCAGCTAAGATGTTTTATTTTTCATGGCAGTTGTCGATACTGATTAAATTTTGAGGCTGATATTAATGGCAGATTGTGATATTTTTCCCTCTAAATTTTTATTATTTTTACTATCTATATTTATACTGCTCTGTATGAGAAAAGTATTAAATGTATGGGAATGATTTAAGGTATGGTAAGGTATGTGTGTTGTTTTTTATATTATTTATGACCCTGTTTGTTTTTCTTTAGGTCCCTCTGGCGCGTTCTGAAGGAAACCTCTTGGACCTGATGGAGTCTGTGTGTGAGCGGATGGAGGACTATGGGGAGGTGGTGGATTCTTCTGAGAGAAAAACCTACGTCAGGATCAAGTCTCGGACCGGTGAAAGTCTGGACTTGTCCGAGGCCTCACTGGACTCCAGAGTCACTGCCAGCTTAAAGTTTGCAGTGAGTGATGCTTGTGAAAATAACAATAAAATACAATACAATAATATTGTAAAATTATAGTATTAGTAGTTGTTTTTTGCAGAAGTAGTAGTTACATTACCAGTAACACCAGCTGTAGCCTAGACATTTAGTAGAGATGGAAGCTTATTACGTATTATAGCATTTTGCATTTTGCATCTCTCATTAAGGCAGTTCTTCATAAGAGGGAATATGAGGCATATGGGAATATGGGATGAGGGAGAAATATGAATTGTTTAACAGATACAGACCATATCAGTGTTGGCACATTACTCATATTTAATAGTTTTCAGTGGGACAGTGTACAATAATTATAGTAATGGCATAGATCCTGCTTTGCATGCAGTAAAGCCATTTCCATTACTTTATATTCAGCTACAATTTATTCATGCCAAATTACAGTTTAAAACTTTATTTCAGTAGTACTTCCACGTCATCTTTTGCAATCTTTACCAATAGCCTCTGGTCTTCTCGTTTTCCTTCAGTGTGAGACCATAGTGGAGCAGCACGAAGATGAACTGATCGAATTTTTCTCTCATGAAATGGAAAACGTCAAAGATCATCTCTGTAGCAAAAGAACGGGTATGTTTCTACCTTTTATTTTCTTTACAATTACATATGATTTTATTTGTATTTACTGGATACCCTTTTGTTAACAGATCTGTGTGACCATGCCTTGAACATCCCCCATGATGAGCTTTGACACATGGCTTCTGCTCAGACCTCTGAAATGGAGACACCTGGTGCTGTAAAACCTCAAGTTTTGTTCACTTTGGTCAGTTTATGAGAAGAGCATTAATGCCTTAACATTTATTCACAACCAATATTGTTATTTAAAACTATCTCACCCAGGAAACTCCCAGAAAGTATTATTTAATAAGGAGACTTCGCGTTCTGAAAAGCGTGGGATTCTTGTATTAGTTTATCTGTTCATATTTCAGTCTTCTCTCAATTGTCATTGTTCTTGGACAAATTTAAAATGTGCACTGTGAAATGAATTATGGTTTGAAAAAAAAACAAAAAAAAAACAATAGAATGGTAACATTACATTCCCTTTACAAAAGTTTGCAGCCCTAGTATCTAAATATATTAGGATGACAAACTTACACTCCTTCCACCCAGACTGTCTCATTAATGTTTGAACTTTTATTTATACAGTTGTTGTGTAGTTTACTAGTGGGATCATTAACGGCTACATAAAACATTTGGATCATTTTGTCTTATTTTATTTTTGCTTAAAGGAAATGTATACTGTTTTCAGTCTCAAAATCAGTATTGGAATTTTTATTATATCATTAATTAACATAAATTCATAGAAAATTAGCAAATTTATGGCAGAATATGTCCCTTATTATATACTGTACGTCCATTACTTTCCACCAGAGAGCGCTATTGCTGGTATTGTGGTTAAAAACCCTTTTAAATTTAGTGTTTTTTGTCTGTGAGGATTTTGTGAAATGAACTTAGCCTCTTATGTGAAAATTTCCTGAAAATCTTTTTTTATATGAACTTTGTAAGTTTTCTCACCTTGTTTTGTCTTTAAAACCAAATACATTTGTACAACATCCGCATCCATTTTTATATTAATTTAAAAGTTCAATGATATGACATGAGCAGCACTAGCTCCATATGTAGAACAGTTAAGTTTTGTGAGTTAAAAAGTTATTTAAGGGTGATAAATTATGAAACAAAAAGCACAAAAATCTGATATCTTCATTCACACTTTATTTTACAATTTTGTATAACTAAGTGTTTCATGGATTATTTGAATATCACTTTAACAGTCAGTAATAATACCTGCAGAAAGGTGTGCTACACATATCTAAATAGTTGTCAAACAATTGTCGATTAAAAATGAACCAATTTAAGGTCATTAGAACAATATATTTTACATGGACAATATTTTATTCAGTTGGAATCCTATACAAATATATAAACCAAAAAACGAATCATTGTTTTGTATATTTTGGGCAGGAAACAGTTGCCCTTTTTATAGGGTGTCATATGGTAGTACATCTGTAATTCTTAACCAATTAAGCCCATTATAAAAAGCATGGCTCACAACCCTATGATCATTCTACACAGAGAGCTGGATATTATGTTGTATTGTAAGTTTAATATTTTGTCCATAGACAACACACACAAACACAAAACAAGTACCTTTAGCTGGATAATACGCCCACTGTGCAGTCTTAAGTAAATATTTAGATTTCTACTTTTACTAAGTATTATTATTTAAAGTTAGATTACTCTTACTTCATTAATACAATTTACAGCAATGCTATCTTTGTAAGTAATTAAAATTAAAGCCAGAAACATCTAGTACATACAAATGAATGTTGTATTATATAACTTTGTCAGCCACTTGCTTATCTCCATTGAATTGTTATTGCTTTGCCCAGAATGTTTCATACTGTGACATTAAACTCTCTAATTCTCTAATTCCAATGAAACAAGCAGGTGAAACTACCAGGCTGGTCAGATCTGTGGAGACAGCGACTCTGCTCACAGTAAAATGCATGGTTTTCAAGGAATTTCTTTAGCATTACAAACGACTTTAATTGAATCAATGCAGCAATCGAGACAAACCATAGAAAACTTTACCACAGAGACAAGCATCATCAGCTCCATCAGAAAGTTACACCATAATTTAATTATGATCTACTCATGATTATTTATGTTTTGATTTGTTTTTATTATGATTTTAATGTATTTCTTATTCTGTAAAGCACTTTGAATTACTTTGTGTACGAATTGTGCTATACAAATAAACTTGCCTTGCCTTGCCTTACTGCTGTGGCACTATTGCATTACAACATAATATCTTCAGACTTTTCTGCCTGTTTATCTAATCCCTCATCAGGACTCTCTTCAGTCTGATTTTGGTTTATTGTATTTTCATTTTCTGAGGCATTGTGTCCCTCTCCATCACTGCTTTGATCCTCATCACAGATTTCAATACATTCAACATTTGTCATTTCTGTTACTCCCAATTCATCATCCACTATAGTTCCATCTGACCCCTGACTACTGTTACTGCACTGAGAAAGGGTCTCATCTTGCATATTCATATCATCATACCAAAGCTCTGACTGCATCAAATCTATATTGCCTTGTTTCACGCCGTTCTCACATACACTTTCTACACTAACTAAGCTCTCTCTATCCCAATTATCTATAACCTCTTCTTCTTCGTTTTCAGAATCTGGTGCGGTGTGCTTTCTGATACGATTGACTGCGTCCCATAAAGATTTAGGATATTTCCTCTCTTCTTCATAGCAAGCAGTTTCACAATTATCGTTATCAGTAGTAGAAGCTGACGGATGAGACTGTTCTGAGATATCTGTAGATGTAGTGTTTACATTTGAATCTGGCTGGCAAACCACGTGAGAACCTGTAATATCTTTGTCAGAGGAATGACCTTGGGGTTGTAAAATGTCCTCACTTTTTGTAGATGGGCAAATTTCATTATGAGGATCTTTAGCATTTAGTCTATCTTTCATAATATTATCGTCAACTATATCATCGTCCCATTCACACTCTTCCAAGTTAAAATCATTAAAATCGCAATCTGATGCATCTATTTTTCCAATTTCATCCAGAATTTGTTCCTTTAAATCCATATCTTTTTGCATTTCAATTTCATTTGCTTGTTTATTGTCTTCAATGAAAATGGCAGCTGTATCTGAATTTAGTTCTGCACCAGTTATTTCCTCTAATCTCTCTTCCTTGTTTTGCAAATCAAACTGATTTATATCTTTTACCACTTCCTCCTTGTGATTGATCTCCAAATGATCAGCTTCTAAATTTTGAAATGAAATGATTGTGTCTTTTGTGCAAATTTCACTCTTCTCTTGATCAAATTCTGTATTATCATTTAGTTCTATGGTTTTCTCCATTTCCAAATTACTTGAAATCGCATTGTCTACAGAAAATCCATCATTTTTGCTATCTGTTAGATTTACTTTTTCTTCCTCTTTTCCTGCTTTTTGTTCAGCATCTGACAGTATTTCTACTTTCGGAGCTGTCAAAGTTGCTGGTTTAATTCCTTCATCGGCACCTAACTGTGTTTCCTCAGTGCTTTTCTTAGTGATACACTCTTCTTCATTTGTGCAAACTTTATTTCTACAGCTGAATTGCTTCTCATTTTCACTTTCTTCAAAATCTTTTGTGTTTTCACTTGATGCTATTGAAATATCTTCTTGCTCTATGACATCTGACTGTTCTTTTTTTGTAGATTCATCCAGTACTTCACTTTGTGTATGTGTATGTATCTCATTGACAGTTTCTACTCTCTTTTCTTGAATCTTGAAATCTCTTGTAGCCCCTTCGATAGCTTCATCACCATTTTGACTGCTTTCTGTACTGCAACTGGGACCATCTTTAAGAACAGACTTGCCTTCAGCCGTATCACCTCCATACAGTTCAACATTAGCTGTCTCTGTTACTTTTACACATTGGTTTAACTCATTTTCTGATTGTTCCAAAGTTGGTGCATCCTCTTTCTGTCCACTGTCAAGTTCTTGCATATCCTTGGTTACTTCACGCATTTCTAACTCATTTGTGTCAATTTCGTGATCAATTTTGACTGGGCATTTCAGTTCACCTGGTTTGCCATTTGCGACGTTCTCAACTAGATCAGAACTCTCTTCACTAACTTCCTTAACATCCTGGTCTTGTAAATCTGACATATTTTCAGACAAATGTTCAACTTTTGCGACTGTCAAAACAGTTTGTGTTGCATCATTTTTATTGTCACTTAATCCTTCTTTGTCTTCTTCAACTTCCGATTGGAGCAGTTTCCAAGCTATATTCTCTAAATGTTGTTTCAAGTTACAATTTTCATTCAGGGTTGTCAAAATGTCATTATCTCCTTCTTGTTCGATCAATTCCAATGTAGAAATATCTGCTGAATCATTCATCTCATCTGGCTCCTTGCATTGTTCACTTATAGCTTCAACAACTGACTCTTGTTCTGGACTCTTCGCCATTTTGAATCTCTGTACTTCATTGTCTGTTTCAAAGCCTTTGTCAGGTTTCGTAATACTTTCTTCGGACTTACCAACCTCAAAAATGTCACTACTCCTCTCCATCTCCTCACCTTTGCAGCTACTAACTTGTAACGTTTGCAAATTTTCACTTTTACTTATGGTAGACACATTTAGTACCAATTCTTTCTGATCTGAACTTTCGTCTTTCAATTCATTTGTTTCGTAACTTTGCTTCGTCAAATTGTTTTGCAGTTGGATCATTGTAGATTCACGTAACCCACATATTCTCTTTGCACGCTCTTTCAATGTTTCGGAATTTGGTGGCAAGAAAGGTTCACTTTTTGTTTTCTCAACTGCATCTTCGCTCTTAGATTGTTCTGCTAATGTTTTGAAGGCCTCTGCGTTATTAGAATCTTGCTGTTCGGTCTGGATATCCTGGTTGTGTTGTGTAGTCACGCCAGCTAAATTTTCTTCAGTTTTAGTTTGATTTTCTGAGTTTAAACACTGAACTTGCTGCTTCGTTGGCGCTTTTAACAAGTCCATTTTGACCACAACGCATGTGGTGTCAACTGGCGTAGCGTCACCATCTTTAGTACCTACTCTTTGACTTTCTACATTAGATTTTGAGTCATTATCTTGATCGCCATCTTTAGGACCTTCTCTTTGACTTTCTACATCAGATTTTGAGTTTTTTCCTTGATCTTGTACGTTTCTATCCAAGGTTTCTTTCGGGGAAGTTGTGGGTGCATTGTCTGTGTCCGAACTGCTTGTAAAACTAGGTCTCCTCCACAATGGAAATTTAGCGGCCAGCTTATCAATTACAGAAACGTCATTTGATTTCTGCATGTTTTTGCCCGCCATCTTGGACAGCGACTCTTTACAAATCGGTATCGCTTGCAGTTTCGAGAAAGGACTTCTTATATGTTTCGTAGTAGTTGTTGGAATTTTGAAATCAACTTCGTCTGCGAGCTTCAGCGGTTGGCAAACGCTGCTAGCTTTCGGACTCGGAACTTCACTTTGCTTCGGTGAAACTGGCAAACTGTCTGGTTCTGTATCAGCGATTCGTGACACTAAACAAAAGATTGTCAAACCTCCCGCTTTTTTGTTCAACTGAAACTTTCTGCCTTCTATAACTTTAGCTGCGTTACTGCTTGGTCTTCTTTGCACCATTTGCCGATTTTCTTGCAAAATATCTAGTCCTTTTATAGGGAACTTCTCATTTAACTCTTTTTCTGTCTTATTTACAATTTGCGGCAACTCGTAGCTTTGTTTCACTAACTTCTGTGGCGTCAAAACACTCCTATATTGGACACTGTAGGGTGGTGGGGCATTATAATTTGGAGGTTGACTGTACACCTTGGTTTGATAGCTAAGCTCGTTTTTAACCTCCAAATTCTGTCTTTGTGGCATAGTTTGATAACTGTTAATCACTTGCTGCCTGCTTGCCCTATCCCGCAGTGTTGAATCTTGCATATTTGTCATCTGCATATCTCTTCTTTCTATATTATCTTGCATTGCACCTCTCAGTCCTGCCTCGATGCGTCTTCTTCTTGGTAGTGAATGACTATAGCGTAATGCCCAAGCCTCCAACTCCCTAAAATTGTTGTCATTCTTCCTGGAGATTTCGCGTTTGTAGTGAACCGGGTTGTAGGACCACCCCTCCTGTTGAAAGCCCCTCTCTTGGTGCTGATAAGGTGTCCAGTCTTGAAGTTCTTGACGCTGGTCACCGTGGTAATGCTGAATTGGATGATCTAGGTTAAAGGGGAATTGTACAGGAGATGTTGGAGCTGCAGATTCTTGGCTTGACCAGTTTGAGGTGTCTCGTGGAGGCCAGTAATATCCAGAATCAATGGTTTTGCCCCTCTGATCTTCACAGTAGGCTTGATATTGAGGTGGTGGTTGTCTGTCATGGTAGCTGGAAACAAAATGAGATATTATATTCAAGGCAAAGTGTACTTGTGGCCACTTTATCTTGCACTAAAACACAGTTATGGTCATTATATTTAAAAGGTCTACATTATGCTATTTTCTGATCTATGTTCTAATGTTGTTTCCTTATTACAAACAGACATGGCATTGTGTTTTGTTTCATTCACACATGTTTAACACAAACCCTGCATATTTAGGTTGAGTTCTTCTCTCAAACAGACAACACTCTGTTCCACCTTGTGATGTCATGTGGTGATACTCCACTGTTTTTTTGAACTTCATGCACCTTGACTAATCATTTGGATGTTTTTTGGATAATCTTTGAAGATATAGACAGACTAATAAACAAGAATTACTCAACTCTATCTTTCTGATGAGATAACATTATAACATGGCTTAAACCTCACAAGAATAAATTGTTTGTAATATAGACAAAAATATAACATAGACCTATAAGCTTAAATAGCCCCAATCATTAATTTAGTTCTGGTTTAGTTTTAGCCTACATTTAGTCCTAAGAACCAGATTAAAAATAAAAGTAACGTTAGGGCCTATATATATATACACACACACCCACCCACCCACACACACACACACACATATATACATATACATCATTATAGGCTTTTTCACCTACTTTTGTGAGCAGCTTCTTGAAGGTAGAGTGTTGTACTTGCTGTATTGAGGCAAATGCCCTTGGTTCTCTGCCCAGAAATCCATCTTTAACTCTGTCGAATACAAATAATATGACAAGTAATGAAGAAAAGATGTTGTGATTTTTTTAAAAAAAAGGTTATAATGGAGGTGAAAAGTAGCAGTAGAAATAAGAATATAGAAATAACATAAAAACAGTGAGAAACTGTGTGGGAGTTAAGTGCGATAAGCAAAACAAGCCCTGTGTATATAAACTAAAACAAGTCCAACTACTAATTATCTCACTGTGTTGATATATGTAGTCCCTTTGTGCTGTACTAGCAGTTTTTAGATATGATACTAGATATGAAATGAGTTCACACATGAGATTGTAAGCAGTACAATTATCTAAAATATGGTAAATATGTCAATCATACTCTTGAAATGTTACAGTTTTAAATATAGTCATGACAAAGTGGTGGAAGTGATTTTAAAGTTCTTATACCATATATTGTAAATAATAAGAACACTGGTTTGGTTCTGTTATAATTGAGTGAAAATTAAATCATCACAGGTCAAATTGTGCCTCAACATTTACACCAGTTTAGAATAATTTTTCAAAATATGACTTACCTATAGCACATGAGGAGGTACAAAACTCCAGTTCTTGTTGAAATTGTGAACTCCAAAGAGGATGAAGTGTTTTAAATGGGCTCTGGACGAGGTCACTCCCACTCAGTCACACAGCCTCCCTCTTCACTAAAGCAACAACAACATGCACATTATGCAGCAGATCTGGCAACACTGGGTTATATCTTTCATCATTAGACATTGTGAAGTCATAATAACATTAATGGTTGTTTTTATAGCTCTGTAGCAAAGTAAGAACTTGTGAGAACTTGGTTATTGGAAGTATTAATGTAGATCCCGTAAGTTGTCATATTGAAGACACTAAAATAAGTATTGTCTGTTGTCTGGTTTCCAACTGGTTTCCTTCATAGAATCTGGCAACATAAAGTGAGTAGCTCATTCTGCTTTCTGAAAATAAGGCGTGAAAGCCAAATCAAAAAGTTAAACATCATGCAAAATATTTCTGTAATTGTAAATATATTAATTAATATTACACTTGCTGATTTGAGGATACACATAGTAATGGAATAAAAAGAAGGAAAAAATGGAATACACTCCTTATACACACTTTTAGATTGAATATAATGATTCTTGACTTGGTGGATAGCATTTAGTCAGACCCTTATTTAAAGATGCATGCATATCTAGTTTATGAATCTACTTTTTACTTTTGCCTTTGTTTATTCTACTTTAATAATTTAGGTATTTGATTAGAGTTGTGAATGGGAGCAGGCAAGGCACATTTATTTGTATTGCACTACTGATACACAAAGTAATTCAAAGTGCTTTGCAGAATAGGAAATATACATTCAAATCAAAATACAAAGACATAAAAAACAAAAATTCACTTTAAAAGGAAAAGTGTAGATAAAATCCTTACATTCTAATTAAGTCCTTGTTGTTTGGTAGTTGCTTTGGTACAGAGTGAGGTAGCGTTAGCTTTAGCGGATGTGGAGCGCCTCTTTCTTTAAATCTCTTTAGCGGAACAAACAGGCTTTCCCCCTGAACAGAAATCCCACATCAGCACAGTCCAGAGGCAGACAGCGCTGTGAATGGACGGATACCACACATTGTTTTCCATGGGATAAAGGTGAATCGATTATCAGCAATTATTACAATGTTTTTATAATGTTAGCTCTGCAAATTTGAATTTGAATCACAAGAATTCTAGTACACAAAGTTACTGTCATATGCCAATACATAATATAACCTGCATTTATTGTTTTCAAAACTGTATCGAGATAACTACATTAGAAATCTTTTTACCTTGCATTTATTGTGTGGTAAATTACTGGATTTGTGGTAATAATAACGCCCTACATTTGCATTGGGCTTTATAACATGATAAGTCTCTGAAAATGCTGTACTGAAAAGGCATTATTCATTCAAATCCCACACTTGGGACTATTTCTGTAGCGACAGCTGCCCTGGGGGAGATAGGTTGAAGTGAGGCTGCCAACTGTACTATTATTGAGCCTGCACAAAAAGATGCTGACTGAAACTGGGCGCAATATTTATAGATAAATTGCGTATAAATTGCAAGTCACAAAATGTGTTCTTGTATCAGTTAGTCATGATTAGTCTAATTAGTTGTTGCAACCCTAATACACAGTGGCTTAATGAAGCACACAACAAACCAAATAACTTTTTTGTAACAATGTGCTTCTTCCATTATTTGTTATGTCCTAAGAGTTGCTTTGTAAATGTTTATATTCTGCAGTTCGTCCCTTTGCACCAGCTCCACTCTGAACCTCGTAGGCAAATACTCTTCATAAAACTCCTCTGTTTTGTGCTCTGTTCTCATTTTGGAGCAGAAAAACACCACTGTCCCACTGTGGCACAGGTGAACCAGCGTCTCCACCAGTAACAGGAAGGTCTCCGGGAGGTAGATCAGGTCAGCACCCAAAACTAGGTCCCAGTCCGAGGAGAAAGTCAGATGGTCTGTACCCCAGGACAGAGGCAGGACTGAGGGAGCAGAGGTCCAGCCACCAGGGGGCATGTTAGCGCTGACGTTAGCCTGTAGAGGAGGAAGAGCTATGGGCAGGTCTGTGAGGGTCACCACCGCACCTGAAAGGAAAATGTAATGTTTGTAAAACTATTATTACATAGAAATAAAAATGGAACAGGAATTGAAATCATTTCAATTTGTTTAATAATTAAATATATAACATTTTATAAAAGGTTAGATATTTTTCTCTTTCTCCATGGAAACAAGCAAGTGATGCTACTAGCCCAAGTCACAATTAAGTCAAATCTGTGGAGAAGCAACCCCACTTATGCAGTATGAATGCAATATTCAATATATTCATGAGCAAGAGAACTGGTCGTTCATGTTACCAACTGAATAAATTGCAAAATGGTAAATAGAATGCCATGCATTCTAGCATTACAGGCAAAGCAAAAATGTATGTAAGATAATGAGGTGATGGACCATCTGCCTGAAAATCAATCAATCAAGATTTATTTCAGACTCCAATGGGCCATTTAAAAACAGAGACAAACAAAACAATAAGATGGATAATGGTTTATAGACCATATAAGCAGTTCCTCCAATACTGCCAGTGTTCAGAAGTGAACTTGACACTGCTCTGCTCAGGCATTATTAAAACATTTATAATTTTATTCTGCGAGTCCTTGAGGCGCTTCATAAACTGAAAACTGAAAAGTTACATAGTACATCTTTATCCTTAGGGTGGTGTTTTATCCAAAGAAAGAATAAAATATATATTCTTTTGTTTCTCATTTATCTTGCCACTTTTTGCCTTCTTTATTTTTTTCTTCTTTCACGGGCTGTCTTCTTAAATGTGCACTTTTACACGTAATGTTTCTGGAAAAGATTTTCTGAAAAATGTCTTTCTTCTCTCAAAAAGGGCTTAATTAAAGAAGATGTGAGCAGGGTTGTCTACAGATATGGCCTGTAACTAGGCCTGGTGCTAACTGTCCGGTGGTAGACAAGTTTAATGCTGTACTCTGGAACAAAGAAATAAGATCTCAATAGAGACAAGCAGGTGACAGACCCTCCACCTGAAAAGTCACATTGTACATCTTTAAATCTTATTAAGTTTGGTGCTGGGAAGAGCTTCAGTCCTGCATAATAGAAAGAAGTGGTTAAAACACTCGCTGTAGACTTATTTTAAATTACTGTTAGGGTACCAGAGAGTTGATAAATATTGTAATATTCATTGTTGATCCATACTTTCATACACGTACCCAGTCGCGCCGCAAAGATGCCCAAAAATCCTGTGCCAGCTCCCAGTTCAATTACGCGCCTCCCCTTCAGTTCCACGGATTGCTCTACCAGGTAATTACTCAGCTGTATCGCCTTAAAACAGATAAAATGACACAATACACAACCCACACTGCAAATTTTAAATATTTGTCTATTAAGTTGTGTCCTCTTACTGCTTCCCAGACCGGAGCAGCCACGCCGAGGTTGGCCCCAAACACTTGCTTTATTCGCAGCTCTTGTCCACATATATTGTACACGCTATCGTTGGAAAATGTCTCCTCGAAAAGACAGTCCTCAACGGGAAATGGGTCGTCTACTTCTCCATTCATTTCTTATGTAAATAATAACAAAATATTACGGCTATTTATTTAGGTCTATCCATGCACCAACATTACGCATGTGATGAAAGAGCGCTCGTCTTCCAGGTCAAACGCGCTTTACGGAAGTTTACTGTCAAAATAATTCTAATATGCTCGAGTTTTCTACCCACATTTCTTATAGACAATGCATGGTATAGTAAATATGTCAAGAATTATGAAAAATAGTTTATACATTTGTTGGTAAGTTCTCTGGTGCTGAACTACATAAGTTAAAAATAATCAAACATTTTTAATTTGAAATGTAACCCTACACTGCGTTTCCGGGTTGACTAAAAATATAAACAAAATCACATGCTAAAAAGCAGTATGCCTTTTCTCAATTCTGAAAGATTGAACAAATATACATTAATAGCATTTTTTGTGTATTATGGTTAAACACTCTTATGTTACACATATAATTTATTTGAATACATTATTATTTGAATAAATCATTATTATTAAAACGAATATGCACAAGGACTAAGCCAATAATGATATACAATATTTTTTTTATTATCAGGTCTTTAAATTGGAAATACCAGACCTAACTAGAAAGACCCATTCTCTTTCGTAAATAAATAACCAACAGTCAGACTTCATTTACATTTTGGGTTTATTAAAAAACACATTTCATCTTCCTCTTCTCTCACACATTTTGAAAAGAGTACCACTAAGACACGTTCACACAAACTTCACATCAATAACAGAATGATTCAATAACTGTATAAAGTCTTGAGATATGTGAAATAAAGCTCTTCGTATCTGACATATTGGACAGTCTCAGTGGAACGAGTAGTGTTTACAACTTGATACAGTAATGTGCAAAAGCTAAGAAAAAGAGTCCTGGTTTAGACCCTGGTCAGATCAAGTTCAGTCTTGGTTTGAGAATTAAATTAAAGCTGTACCACTAACTTTTCTGGTAGAGGGTCTGCACCTGCTTGGAGATGTTGATAATTTGCTTAGTATGTTTCACAGTTTCATTCACTTCATTGCCATGTTACAGGTCAGAGGTCACAGGTCTGTGGCGATATGAACCTGCGGCGCACACAGTAAGAATACATGTTTTTCAAGATAATTAGAGTAAAAAAGCACCTATAATTGAACAAATGCAAGGTAAATAGGTATAGATAAAAATGCCATACTGTGAAACATTCCAGGAAACACAATAACATCTCCATGGAGAAAAGCAGATGGCACATCTTTCACCAGAAAAGTTACACAGTGCACCTTTACAGAACAAACAAAAACACTGGCTTTTGCGCAGTACTGTATGCACAATAAAACATAATATTTTAAAGTCTGATATCACAGTTTCTCAGAGTGGACAATTATAAATGCTTGTTAGCTACAACTGCGTCCTGCCTAAGCCCCTCTGACTCAATTTGAATAAAAATAAATAATTTCATAATGACAGTAGTTTTACATCCATTAAACGCTCAATCCCGCCCAAATGTGCAAACTGCAAGAGGTTTAAAAAGGTAGCACTTTTCTGAGGACCATTATAATAAAAGAACTCAAGTGTTTTTCAATGGGCACTTCACCTTTACAGAGATGAGAGACTGATTAGAGATTCATTCATAACATTGTGCAACAGAGTGAAATATTGGATTTTAAAGCAACATTATGTAACCTTCAACAATAGGTTCACTTCCATAAGAGTTATACATTCCTATGGATAGTTCGTTTATGTTAGCAGTCATTTTCGCAACAGTCTAAATACTGTATAAAATTTCTTCAGTTATTTAAAGGTCCCATATTACGCACAATTGACTCTTGTGAGCTTTTAGCCATATTAGAATATTGTTACCTCCTCAAAAACATACCTGGAGTTGTGTTTTGTTTCATTCACACGAGTATGAGTAAATCCTGCATTATTAGTCTGTCCACATCACCAAAAATCAAAATGCTCTTTTTTACCGTGTGATGTTTGTTTTGTAGTTTTCATGTTCACAGCTCATTTTACCTTTTGTTCAGTAGAGTTTGACAGGGCAGAAATGATCTAAATGATTTTAGTGAAGGTGTATGGAATTTAAAAACACAATGGAGTGCTTCCTGTAGTACCACATGACATCACAAGATGGACCAGAGTGTTTTCACTTTGAGAGAAGAACACAGCTTAAATATGCAAGGGTTGGTGTGTTAATCATAATTTTGCTACAGCATTTTCAACAATGGGTAAAAGTTACATAATGTTGCTTTAATGTGGATTAGTACAGTGAATGATTAAAACACATGATAATTTAAAGGGATATTCTGGTCTCTACCCCTTTGGTCGACAATTCTAAACCTTACATCTCCCAAACTGAGTGTAAAGGAGCTGTACCTGAATTTTACAGTTTTCAAGCTTTGTTCATTTTAAACTTATCGGTCCAAACTCTACGGACGCATTCCTTACACGCCAATTCTTCACTGTAATGTGTTTCTTACAACTTTCAGGGGGCTAGCATAGTCTAAGCGTAGTCACGGTAACACTAACAAGAAATAGCCTGCTACTCCTGTGACAGATAAACTACTTTATAATTAAAGACGCTGCACCTGATTTTTACTGCCTCAAAACGTGAAAAACAGAACTTTAAACAGCTTGCAGTATTCCTCACTAATCTTATGCATTAAGGGCATCATAATAATTCACCATGATGACTTTATAAGTGCTTTTCACGACTTTCAGATCAGAGTTTTGTTGCTACAGTAAAGGTAACAACTAGCATGTTAACTGTACACTCCCTGATTCTCTGAGTATAAAACTCTTTGTAATTAGATCTAGACAGTACAAAGTGGACTGATTTTGACCTCTAGAGTTTCTTATACAATATATCTGTACTGGGAAAGAGACACATTCTGCTGAAGTACATGGGGAAAAAATCAGGTACAGGCCCTTTAAATGTAGACAGAGCTTTGTATCTAAGAGCTGCTTTTACATTATACTATGGAGGTAAAACTGATTTTGCAATACGACATGAAAAAAAAAATAAAAATCAAGTACAGCCCCTTTAAGTGAGTTTAAATGTGTATGTTTTGCATTTAGCTCAAAAATGCATTAATTCATGCTTTGAATTCCAGCTGCAACTGAAACTATAATTTAGTCCTGGGCCATTTTTAACACTTTTCCATTCACTCACAATGTTTTAAGACACGTTTCAACACTGCAGAAGTCTCTTAAAATTCCCCACAAGTTTTTTTTTTCTGTCCTTGAAACAGAAATCTTACTTCTTGGGTCTTGGGAGTGCTCTTGAAGTCATTGTTTTTGTCGATAAAAGGCTGTTTTTCCTTCAGTAGAACCACACAGATGCACGACAAATCAACACGGAAAATAAAGGCGGCGGAATGATTACAATTTAGTCCCGAAAAGAATAAGTATTAATACAACCACGATGACAAACAGAATCAAAATAACCAACATCTTCCTGTTCTTTTTCTGATACTGCTCGGCCTGAAAGAGATCAAAAGGTTACATAATATTTGGTTATTGAACTCTTGATTAAAGGTACACTGTGTAACTTTTTGGTGGAGGATGCACAACATTCTTGTCTTCATAGAGATGTTACTATTTTGCAAGAAATATTCCACAGCACTGCCTTCAGAGTACTTATGATCAATAAAAAGATCTGTAATTTAATAAATACAAGATGGATAGGTTTAATTAACCAGGCTTACACCAGACTGATGTGTGCAACACTAAACTGAGTTGTACACATTGTACCCTATTGGCCGTACAGGCCCTATTCCACCAGAGAAAGCATTCAAAGATGGATTCTCATGAGTTTGTGAACTCAAAAATACTGCAAATTCATCCTGCTGCTCAAGGTTAATGTTAAATGCCATACTCTGAAATGTTCCAGACAAAGCAACATCTTCACAGACCAGAAAAGTTACACAGTGCACCTTTACATTTTCAGTGAAGTAAAAAATTTGCAGTGTTAAAAAAGTGACTCGTTGCTTACCTTTTGTAACTGTTTTAAACCGTCTTCTGTTTTAACACAAGCTTGTTCCACATTAAAGTCGATTCTGTCGAGAACTGTTCCCTATAACAGAGAAATATACAACATATTTTTCATCAATTATTTGTCTAATTCTTTAAGAAGACATATTATGATGGATGAACATTTATGACCCTCAAGTGGGCTTCTCTTTTGCCCACTGGAGATTTTTTTGGGAGGGAATTTTCTTTGCAGAGAAGAAGGGTCTAAACCGGTCTAAACTTTCTATGCTCTACAAAAATGACTTTAATATAACTTTTATCTGCTTGTCCGTACCTGCTCCACCACCATCGTTGCCAGGTCCCTGAAGATCTCGTTCAGATCTGAGATGGACTGCACGATGTTCCTGATCTCCCTCTCTCTCTCCTGCACCATCACTGAGTTCTGCTCCACCAACATTAGCTGGTCCTCTGTGAAGCCCTGAAGAGGAGGAGAGACATGTCACGAGACGCAAGAGATGCCAAAACAAGCACTTATCAGATTTAAGCAAACAAAAGAGACAGAGCAAAGTATGTAAACGCCTAAAACGTAATATGATTCTCTGCAGCAACTCAAGAGCTTTTCTTCTGAATTGAGTCTATACACCCAAATAAAAAATGTAAATAAGGCATTTTTATCTATATTTCTCTCACAATTTTTGATTTTATAAAGTTGCGAACACACAAAGAGGAATAGTTGTCGGGCTATGTGAATCAAAGTAAATGAAAGATTTTACCCTTGTTTGGTCATGCCGTCAAAAATAATGAAATAAATTGCAAATTAGTAATAATATTAACCCCTTGTGGCAGTATATTGAACTTCCTGTGTGATGTTTGCATGCATTTAAAACATTTAAATTCAGATTTTTCAGCAATGTTCTACATTTCTACCCATTTCCTCTATTGTAGGTTATGACACTCACTCTGTCGTAAATGGCTAAATCCTCGTCTTCCTCCATTAAAGGCCCCGAGTCAAAAAAGTGCTTTGATCTCTCCTCTCGGTTCTTCATTCCTGTGAAAAAGATGAAAAACAAGACGAAAACACAACATTAGAGATGTTACAATTCACGGGTTAATAAAAGTTAGAACAGTTGCCACAGCAATTAACAAATTAAAACTAAATATTAAAGCCACCTGCGGCCCTAGCCCTGGCACACTAGCCCCTCCCAGGCAACTGCCCAGCATTTATTGTCCCTTGCTGACAGCTCCCCATGACATGTCTATGGTAGGGGGTGCTTCAGTGTACACTTGTCATATTCTTTCTAGTGTATTATATTCAGGCCGAAATCACACATTGTTGATTCAAATTTCAGCCCAATCGGACTATGCATGTGCGTGTACGATTTCTAAAATATTTTTTGGAGAGTCTTTGCACTCCGGCTGGCCAACTGTGGAAAATGCCCCATGTTCATAATACTTTTTTTTGCTTGTAGTCATGCTTTTGCTCTTAGTCATGCATAGAATTTAATCCCCAAATATGGTACAAATCTAATAATGCTGAAGTTTCATTTCTATAGTAGGGGGCGCTATAGTGTACACTATACAAATTTCAGCACGATCTGACTGAGCATTGTGCATGTAGGATTTATTTATTATTATTTATTATTTTATTTGGGGGGAGACAGCTTCATAGTCCATTACATTCAGGCCAGGATCACGCAATTGTAATTTGCATTTAAGATATCTAGACCAACGCCTGTAGCTGTGAGAAGTCATCAAAGAAACAGGAAATGAATGTGTTTTTCGCCGGTGTGCTACAGGCAAACTGTAAGGAATATCCCAAAAAACTGATCATTTTTGAGAACCTATGTCTTTGGACTAAAAACCTCGAACTAGTGCCCAATATTGGTGAATTTTTGCTCCATTATGGCCAACTTTTGTGTTCATTAACATCATACTATATAGATCTCTACAGTTCTCAACTCTGAAATCATTGGATTCTTGTTTTGATTTATCAGTTTATAATTCAATCTTCTCTAAAATGTTAATACTCCTGGAATTGTTTATGCTGAACAGAATCCTACTTTTTAAATATATATTGAAAATTTAATAGCATTACTCAAAAAAAAAAAAAAAAAAAAAAATTTAAATGTATTCCTACTTATAATAATGAGTATGCATTTGACTCAAGTACTTTTGAGGTATCCGGACTGCGTGTGCCTGAAGTTGGTGGACAGGTCCTGTAGACTCTGGGCCAGTGAAGACACCACGTTTCGGAGCAGCCTCTCCTCCTGCTCTGTGCAGTGACCACAGCGCGTCTGCAGACCTGTGACCGCACGCTGGCATCGGTGAAACATCTGCAAAGGACATGAGAGAACAACAAGAGATTTTACTTTTCTTTATCCTAACTCACAACGTCTTGCCATATAGTCCTGACCCTGGGCTTTAATTAAAGAAAAGTACCTTGTTTGCCTCCAACTCAACATAATATGATTGTTTTCCAAAAAGTGTTTGTCTGCAGTTTGAATGTTCATACACCTTAACTAATAGCATTGACCGTAAATATGTATCATAGGTTTACACCGAGTACAAGTCCAATGGCACATTAAGAAGAAAAAAAAAAATCTATGCATGTCGTAATTACACAAAATGGTCAACCTAAGGAAAATACATTTTTTATAAAAACATGATGTTAACTATGTTTTAGTGACATGGGTAATCAGTCTAAACTGCATGTCACATATGCACTTTAAGGCATCTAAAATATGAAAAGTCCTTCCCTGTACTGTACCTGTGTGATCTCCTGAGTGGTGATCTCCTGTGTGGTGATCTCCTGTGTGCACTGACCGCTGCGTTCCAAATAGGAAGTTAGCAGGTGCTTCTGGCTCCTTCTGACCCTTGCTCTCATTGAATTATATTGGAATATTGTCACCCCTCTCTGTAACAGCTTCTGTGAACCTTGTCATTTTAGTCTTAAAATGCCCGCTCCACATGATTCTGGTGTTTTTATTTTGCCATTTTGTCCGTTAACGTTGGAGCTGGGCTCCGGATTCTCTCCTGTAACCACTAGCATTGCAAGCTTAATTTGACTGGAGCCGAATGTTATGGGTGACATGACTCTTGCTTAATCCACTTCTTTATACAGTCTGTGGATGATCACCTGTATGGTCATCTCTTGTGTGGTGATCTTCTCTGTGATGTTCTGTTCCTGTGTGATGTTCTGTACCTGTGTGATCTCCTGTGTGGTGATTCTCGATGGCGTGCTCCTCTTCACTGCTGTCGTCCAGAGTCGGTCGGTTCATGTGTTTGTCGTGAAGCACCGCCAGCTCCTTCATCTTCTGACGCACACGCGAGATCTCGTACTGGATCTGGGCACAAAAAATACATGGACTTCAACCTTCTGTTATATGTGACATTTTGAGGACTTTTCCTTATTCAAATTACATAATATTGTTTGAAATTGTTACGGCAAAGGTCTTACTATTTTATAATTCTGAAACCCATGGATATAGGCAAATAAATACATTAAAGAAGCGTGGTCATGATGCTAAAATGTCAAACTCAAAGTTTTTGCCTGTGAATGCAACATATTTATTATATTACAACAAATCAGCAACTGCTATTAAGGTGTTTTTGTAAATTCAGGACATAATGGATAACTTTTGTTTACTAAATATACAAAATATTAAAATTACCATCAATTATAAAATAAACAGAATGCAACAAAACAAAAACACATTTATTTATTTCACCTCATCAACACCGTCTATCCATTTAGGTGGGAGTTTCTTTGTGACTCCGATGGCTGCTTCAGGGTCCAGACTGATCCCAGACACCAGGGCCATTCTATCATCTGCCAACTTCAAACACACAAAAGGAAAAAGTTCACATTATTTTAGTTTCATTTGTTTGGGCATGAAAAGTCTAGAGCAGTTCTGCAGGAAGGAGAGACCAGTACCTCATCAAGCTCCTAATTTGATTGGCAGATCCAGTCCAAAGATCAGGAAAGAGAAGAGAGAGGGGAAAAAGAAAGAACGGAGAATGAGCTTCAGAAATCATTTCATACACAGACAAAGAAGAAACAAACTACAAGAGAAATGTACTAAATCCATCCAGTTTAATTTGGGAAATACTGAATTGACTTGTAACCAGTTATTAGGGCTGCAACACACAGTTTAAAGATGTACTATCTAACTTTTCAATAGGAGGGTCAGCACCTTCTTGTTTCTATGGTGATGTTATTGCTTTGCCTCCGAGTGCTTCACAGAATGGCATTAAACTTATCTCCATACAGACAAGCAGGTGACTCCACCAGGACCAATTTACAAGTCAGATCTGTGGAGAAGCGACCTCGCTCACGGTAAAAAGGCAGTTTTTTTAAAGGTAATTTTTAAGCAATGTAATAGTGATTGAATAAATGCAAGATAGATAGGTTTAATTCCATACTGTGGAACATTCCAGACAAAGCAATAACATCTCCATAGAGTGGTGAACCCCCTACTAGAAAAGTTACATAATTAAATAATTGTGATAGATGTATACTCCAAAGCTTTGTTTCATATACTCTGGGTACATCATCTGGACTTTCACTACCAGTTGAAAAGTTTGGACACACCATCTCATTCAATGTTTTTTTTTTTATATGTTTACTACTACTGCTACTACTATGACCTTTGCTTTGTTAAAAATATTTATTTAGTTATTTAACTTTTTTCTTTACTAAATAATTACTTTACTAAATTACTAAATAATAACTGAAAGACATATACACCACCTGTCTCACCCACAAAGCAATCACAATGTGAGTGACATAAGTCACCCTGCACACAATCTATTCAGCCTCCTGCTCTTAGGGGGAGATACAGGACACCACCAGACTCACTAACAGCTTCATCCACCAGGCTGTTAGGATACTGAACTCTCTCTCCCCTCTATAACCACCAGGCTGTTAGGATGCTGAACTCTCTCTCCTCTCTATAACCACCAGGCTGCCATTAAGCTAAGATTCTACATCTCCCCAAAGAACACTTGGACACAGACCCCGCCCTGACTCCCCCAAAAAGACTGCCTTGTGCCTTGCATTGCTATTACATACATATTATTTATTTCTATGCATGGGAGTGAGAAACACAATTTTGATTCTTTATATGTTTTTTGTATGAAGAATTGACAATAAACTTTTTGAACTTTTGAACTTGAATAATTTGATGCATAATGCTTCATATACTTGCTGTCTTCCAAATGAGTTTAAAATGCAGAACATGGTAAGAAAAAGAAAGAAAAAACACTGGATGAGAAGGTGTGTCCAAACTTGACTGGTTGATCTCTAATACAAATATTGAATTATTTGGTGCAGCCTTAACAATCCTGCAATAGAAAGAAATACAGCATTCAGAAACTGTGAAAGTAGTAACTAACCACATACTGTATGATGTTTGATAACAGGAGTGCCCCAATGCTAAACCATATAGCCATTAAAGCTGAGGGCTGACACAAGAACAAACACAGCTGACGGTTTCACAAAAGACCACATCACACAGGAGCATGAGCTAATGCTAATGCTATCCTCTGGTGAAAGAACAGTGGTAATATAATGGAGAATGAATGTGGAACAGGGCACAGATGGTAAACAGGGCCTGAGGGAAATTCTAAAATGAGACAGCATTTTTGTGAGGTGGATTTTCTTTAAAATAGCAAAACAACTGACATCAAACTTGCAATGTTGTGAAATGAAATAGAAACGAAAATAAATGCATGCTCACAAATGGATCTTCTAATCTTACAATGATGTTTTGAGAAAAGCAAAAGAAGCAAAGAAAGAAATCTACCTCAAAACCTATATATTCAACTGCAAAATTCAATATTATTTTTTTCTGTTTGTATCTCTACTGCATTCACTAAAAAGAAACAGTACTGCAATAACTTTACACTGGGTACCTATTGGTTTGCTCTCAAAATAATGTCAGAAATGCACTTTGAGTTTGCACTAAACAATACAACTACAAGTTCTACAATTAAAGGGCCCGTATTAGGCTATATTCTGACGTATATTCTATGTTTTAATGTTGTTTTCTCGTCACAAACAGACCTGGAGTTGTGCTTTGTTCCATTCACACATGTTTAACACACAAACCCTGCATATTCTTCTCTCAAACTGAAAACACTCTTTTCCACATTGTGATGTCATGTGGTAGTACAGGAAGCACTTCACTGTGTTTTTAAATTCCATACACCTTCACTAGAATCATTTGAATAATTTGCAGCCCTGGAATTGCCAATCTGTACTGATCTAAAGGTAAAAGGAGCTGTTAACTTGAAAACAACCGCTTCATGACATCACAAGGTGGAACAGAGCTTTTTTGAACTTTGGAGATGTAGACAGATTAATAAAAAAAGGTTTACTCAAACATGTGTGAATGAAACAAAACACAACTCCAGGTCTGTTTTTGAGAAGGCAACAACATTATAACATGACTTAAAGTTCACAAGAGTCAATTTTGTGTAATGTAGGAACTTTAAAAGCAAATGTGGTCCCCAGAATTTCACAGACTGCTTTTGCAAAGTATTTACACCAGATGCCTTTCCTGATGACTCGTTTTAGTTTCACTCTCTCGGGATGCATTCACACATGTCCTGGTTTGGTCCTGATCTAGTCCAGGTTTCATCCAATATAAAATGTTAAATCACAAGTTGCTTGAAGATATTTTAATAATTACTGATAACAACACAAATACATATACTGTCTATAAACTATTCACACTTAATCTATAATAACTAGAGTGAAGTCAGATCTTTAACCAGGACAAAAAGGGGCGGTGTGCAAGAATGTGACCTGCGTAGCTTCATTCGCTTCATTGAAAAATAAATCCCCGTTTAGTCTTATGTCACATGAATCCACTCATCTGTGAAAAACTGTGAACGCCTCCCTCCCTCTGTCCCTCTCACTTTCCCTCTCACTCAAGGGGCTGTGGAAGACTCTGTACAAGAACATGGACTAGGCCTGATATGACAAAAAATGTCAACATTTTATTTGATTTTAATTTATCTTATTAAAACACATACAGTGATCTCTCAATATTAATTTCCTCAACATAAACAAACTTTTATTGTCAACATAAAAATTGTCAAATTTCTTCCTCCAAAGTATGAACTTTTACTGACTATTCTGTTTTCCTTTGTGTTGTTGATATTTTGCTGATAGTTGTGTGTTTGGCATCACCATTTGTAAAGGCATTAAGAGGTTTCACTTCAGCCTAAACCCCTTCAGCCATAATTTTTTTAGATGGTTATTGGTATCAAGTGCTATCAAGTTAATGAATGAATGAAGGAAATACTAATTAATAACTACTGCTGCTACTGCTACTGCTTTACTTACTTTACAGTAACAGTAGCAGTAGGATTGGCTATAGACCTCTTGATTAAAAAGCTCAAGCCACAATCATTAACGATCAACAAAGAGTGAATCTGGTCTAAAATGTAATGAATTGCACTACCCTCAAATGGACTGCCATTTGCACTTGATAAAATGTGTTTTACTAAATCCCTACAAACTACACGTTGCTGTAACAGACACACTGTTTTATTATGTAAATGTGCTGTCCATGTCTTATTATGTGTAGACAAATGATAATTTTATTAGTATAACTTGCTATAACTGCAAGTGTTGATACATGGTGCAGCTCTTGTACTGGGTTGCATATAAAACAAAGAAATTTAATTCTCAGTTACTGTTTTAGTGTGTCTACCGAGGTCAGACCAGGTCTTCCTCAAAAAATAGATGTAATCTCAAGGGACTTCCTGGCACAATAAAAGGTTAAATAAAAGGTTAAATAAAAGTCTATTACACTTTTGAAATGTGAGTAACTAACAACGATGACTAAAGGTGCTATTATTTTAAATAGTTCATGTATTACACAGATAAGACCATTTCCTCAGGCTAATTACAACTGACAAGCTAAATTAAGCTGCCTTAGTAAATGACCGTCACTTCAATTGATTTCAACACAACATTTAGAAGGGCGTTTGTGAGGCAAGAATGGTACACAAAAAGCAACTTCTAATGGCAACTTAAACAATGCATCCTCTTATCTCACAGCAATCTGTCTAAGTCAACAATATTAACTAAATATTCTAATAAGTCAATAGTATTTTTGCATCTTTGCATTTCACAAATATTCATTATACTGAAAAAAACAAATAAAACGTTATACCTATTCCATAACTTCAGAAACAGATAAGCATCCAAAAATGATATCAAAGTACACCATCCCAATTATCAATTACCAATCTCCATGTATAAGTTTAAATGGTGAAGTGAGGTGCAGAGTAAATGACATCTCCTTCAGATCCAAAGCAGCACTGGATCCTTGAGTGTCATCTTACCCAGAACAAAAAAGGAGGGGGAACAACAGGCTAAAAACACAACTAAAACTTAATAACAAATCTACAACATCATGTGATTGTAGCTAAAACAAAAGTCATGTGACTGCCTACATCAGTGGTTCTCAAACTGCAGTACTACATTCGTTTTCAGGCTATAGTTTGGACCTGGGTTAGTACTGGTTTAGTCTGGGCATTACTTAGGCCCAGTTTAGTCCTAGATTAGTACAGATTTATAGTTAGTTTAGTCATGTTTGGTCTGTCATACTGGCTTTAGACTTGGTTTGGTTCTGGTCAAGACCTGTTTTAGTCCTGTCTTAGACTGGCTTTACTTCTTTTGTACTGGTTTAGTTCTGGTATGGTCTTTGTTAACGCCTAGATAAGAAGCCCACTAGTTTAGTCCTAGTTTTGTAAGGTCCTGTTTTATAAATTTTGACCTACTTGACTCTTTGTTTGGTCTTCTTGTTTTTAGACTTGGCTTAGGTCTCACCAAGACCTGGTTTAGTCCTGGCTTAGACTGGTTTACTCCTAGTTTTGTACGGTTTAGTCCTGGTATGGTCTTTGTTAATGCCTAGATAAGAAGCCCACTAGTTTAGTCCTAGTTTTGTTCTGTTAGACCGGGTTTTGACCTGGTTTAGACTCAGTTTAATCCAAGTACAGTATGGATTTAGAGCTAGTTTAGTCCTGGTATGGTCCTACTTGTTGAGTGAAGACCTAATTAAATAGGCTACGGCTTTAGTACCTTTTAGACCTGATCAGTATCTATTATAGTCCTGGTCTACTCACACTCCAGTCCCAATTAGAATCTTATCTAGTTAGTTCTGGTAGTCCTGTTCAAGCCCTACAGCTCAGATGTAATCATGTTCATCTTAGTCCCGACTCCCTGAGCCCTTAGACCTGCATAAATTAGTTCTTGATTATATCTGTATAGAAATCGAAATATTTCGCATATGTCATTTCATGCATATAAGTTTGAGAATCACTGTTGTTTCTAAAACACCACACAGAATAAAATGTCAAACGATGCAGACCAGCACTCACCGCAGCATTGCTACGTGTACTCAGACGAGGCTCGTATGTACTCACTTGCTCTGCCAAAATCTGCCGGTTTTGGATAGCATTGTTCCGCATTAACAAGAAGGCATCGGTCAGACGCCTCGTAGCCATGATTGCCTAAGTTTTTGTATTTAATTTACTGCCAAAACAAGGCGATGATTAGCGAATTATGTCCAAGGCGACTCCTAGCCTATCACACCGCTAGGCTAAGGTTTAGTTAGCTCTGACGGCGAGTAATTAGGATGAAAAAAGCGACAGTACGCCTAGAATAAAGATCACACGACTTGATCCCGTTCATCTGTCAAATATATGGACATGGCATTCATAAAAATAATCAGACGATGTATTTATCGGAGTAAATATGGTACAATTTGGGATTTGACTGGACGCGTTATTCCAAGGCGAGCTGCGGAAATGAAGGTGGAACGTAAACACCGACGTCACCGTGCGTAAAGCGACGTAAAGTGGTCTTTCTTCTTCTTCAAGTGCCTTTGCAACATCTGCTGGACGAAGGATCAAGGTGCCCATGGTATACTTATTTTTTCGTCTAAATAATGTTAGTCAAAGTTTTTTTTTTTAAATAAATAAAAGATGAATTTGACTCATGTAAGAATAAGAAAGAAGTAAGAAGCCTCTGAACGCTACTTTGCTCTTTTAGACAACTTGTTACTAGTACAGCACATGCTCAAGAGACTGCATGGTACTAATTGTGTTTTAATGATAAGTGCAATAACCCTCCTTTTAAATACATTCATGACATCTGCTTTTTTTTTTTTAAATATATATTTATTTGTTGCATATTTTGTGAAATCCAACACTTAAAGCCACAGTATGTAGCTTTTAATAAAGAAAGGCTAAATAGGTTAAATAAACGCTTTTTTTTTTTTTTTTTTTTTTTTTTTTTTTTTGCCTGTGTTTATTTCACAGAAAAATGTAGAAAAACATGCATCCTTACTGTGTAGGCTTGCATCTCTACAAACCTGTAGGGGTCAAGCTTGTTTCGGGAATGTTTCGAAATGTAGTGCCTTTGGTTATAATATTCCACAGTATGACATAAAACGTATCCATCTCCGTGGATACTGTTCTGAAGTATGATTTTAACTGTCCATAGAATCAGGCAGGTGATATATCGCCTTCAGAAATTTACTATGCCCAGAATAATTTAGGAGTAGATAATCCAATAATTATTAAGGGCACAGTTAAACTATCTGAAATCAAGATGTTTTTTTTCCCTCTCCTTTTTCTTGTAAATTGTCTCTGTTCTCTTTACTTAGATCTTGTTTACTGAAAAAATAAGTATTTTACTGCAAATTATTATCGTTTTCTGTTCTGTCTTGCACAGAACAGGCACAGAGGCACGCAGATCATTATCTTTAATGATCTTACAGTATGGATTCACAGCATCAGGTTGACATACAGGCAAAAAGTATCAGAGAAACATACAGGAGAGTGTTTTTAATAGTCTGAGGGTCTGCGAGTCTAAACAAAGGTTTAGTATTGTCCATTTATAAATGTTATTTTTATCTGATAGTTTTACCCTGGGAATGTTTCAGAGTTTCTGCAACTTGTATGAGAATCAGCTGGTTCAAGGTTACTGAGCAGAAACTGTAGCAAGCATTAAGTATGAAAGGAAATTCAGTGAGATAATTGTTCACATTATAATAAAATGTAATTATTTGTCTTATGAAACACAGCTTCCCATTATCATCATTACTTAAATAAATGAACAAGAGGATATTCTAAGACTGATTCAGTTTTGTAGACTGATTTTGTGTGTGAAATTATGACCTGTTGGGTCATTAGACTAAAACAGCCCTCAATCCTCTACTGTTTTTTTTTTTTTTTTAAACATTGTTTAGACTCTCAACAGCATCTCCACTGACACATCTTTTTCTTATTTTTCAGGAGTCCCCATTGAATCAATCCATCTCCATCCAGCCCAGTGTTCTGGTTTGAAGTTATATTGTGAACTGTTTGTCAGGGTTTGCATCTGGTCTCTTAGAACAAGGTCTGGGGTTTGATTCCCCTGATCTCTCTATAACCCTTCTGGGTTACATCACTGGCCATTTTAGAATTAGTAGTTAGTAGTAGTACTTAGTATTAGAGGCACAAAAATGCTGGTTACATGAGATGCATTGTAGTAACTTGAGACCCATAGCTGTGGAAAGTTCTTATTAACAAGTACAGTACACAAAGTGTATGACATGTGTACTATCCTGAGGATACACATGTCATACCTTCAAAGCAAATGGTGTATCCTGTTTTCTTTGGTGGAGAGTCAGACAGTGCATTTTAAAATAAAATACTTCGCATTTTCATTTGTAGTCCTGCATTTGGAGGCAATGTTGTTGAAGTGTCCTGGCCCACAATGACAGTACGCATTAGAGCAGTGTCTCTCAAACTATGGTACACAAGCTCCTTCAGGTGGTACAGCTCTTCAGATTGTGGGTTTGCCTCATTTAGTAGTGATTTAATTTTATTCACTTTGTTGCTCTCATTGTGGAAATGTCCACTTTTAGACCTATCAGACCTGGAATAGTCGTTTTGTAGATAGTTGATTTAGATCTTGTGGTACTCAGAAAGACAAATCTTTTTCTTTGGTTGAACTGCTGCATCGTTAAACCTGGTATTTTCAGACTTCTCCCATCCCATCCCAGTATTCCTCAAGGCAGGTCCATAGTTTCTGAGAGCTGAAAAATTGGGCATTCACAAAATGGTGTGGCCATTAAGTTCAACAGATGAAGTTGCCGTATTTTATTGTTTAATAAAATGAGGCAATTGTGTATAGCTTAGTGTATTGAGTAAAAAAGCAAGTGAGTGTTCTGTTTTAGCCTTTCCGTTTAATATAGTCGGTGCTAAATCCATTCATTAAGCACAGTGCTGTCAGTCTGCTTCATTCATTCAGGCCTGATGTTCCTTCACATTTTTAGCCTTTATTCTGATCCGGGGTCTAAATGTGATGACTTTATGGACACGTGGCCATCATATCCCCGTGTCCGTGTGTGCGTTGTGCGCGTAGGCCCCGTGTTTGTGTGTGCAGCAGGTACGCGCTCGAGGCGGTACCATTCACGTAATTATACCGCCTAGCTCCTCCTCCGCTCATTTTAATCCCTTATATCCGCTAATACCACAGGAAACACTTCCCACAACATCTCAACGGGAGCCACAAACTTCACAGCACCGTGTTGGCCACAACTGTACTACTTTTTCTCTGGTTCTTCTACGTAAACAGCGTAAAGTGACGTAAGGTAAGTTTGTTTACGTCTTGGTGCGTCGTGGATGGCTGGACACCTGTGCGTAAAACCAAATGGGTAAGTGCGGTGTATTAGGAATCAAGTGTCCGTGTCTCGTCTCTCAAACTGTGGACCTTTGTGGATTAATCTGCGTTGATGGAAGTACTTTGGGAGGTTTAGCGCTTAATTGATGATTTCTTAATGGCCTCCGAAAGAGCATGACAGCGTGAAAGCGTAAAGCCGCTTGGGTAAAGCGCAGTTTGGTGAAACATCATGCAATGGGACTTATATGAGCGGAGATTTTAGATTTGACAGTGTATATAAGTGTAATGCATAGGCCTATTATTTGCCCATTGTAATGTGCTAGGATCCTTTCTCGTATTGCAATTCTTAAATATCATAACATTTAGACTGCAAAAGTACTTTCTAAAAGACAATGTGTTTGGTTCATACTCAACAGTAGACAACTGCCAAAATATATGTTCAAAATATATGGCAGCATTTACAAAATGTACATGTTAGAAACACTAACACTCTTTTTGATGCTGAATTTCAGATAAATAACTTGTAGTGTAAAGTAATTTAATCAGTGTTTAAAGCACTGTTTTAACTTTTATCCCATTAGACACGTCTGAACTTGTCTTGTGCAAAATACATTTACATATTAAACTATGATAAGGACTAAGCCTGATGTTCAATGTATGTTGCCTAGACACATTTATAATGCTATAAATTCATTAATACAGTGTGTAAAATTAGCTATTCATTTTTTAGTCAACTCCTTTCTTGTTCTTAGTCTATTAAAATGTTACTTTAAGCTCACCCAGAATGCCTTGCTTTATTTACGCTGGTTTCACTAGCCTTTTTCCATTGTATGCTATTGTAGCCTTTTATTTATTATTGTAAAAGTAACATAACACTAGTAAACCGATCCCTACAGGACAAAAGTCAAGCAGAGCAGAGCAGAGCAGAGGAGGGCAGAGCATGCAGGTGCACACACAGAAAGAGGTTCTTAGCCTTATAGGTTATAGCAAGACTTAGAATGAATTAGGACAATTTAAGTGAATATTGTATCTACTAGTATATTTAATAATCTAATCTAATATAAAACGTGTTATACTTAGACAGGATCAATTGTTGTTGTTTGTCTATAATTTAAACCACCTGCCTTCATTGACTTCATTTTGCTGCATAAAGCTATAATGTATCTAGCTTTTGGACAGTTGGATAGTAAGTAAGTAAATAGCTGGGGATTTTTAAAAGCTACAGCTATATTTACACACAGAAAAATAGGTACTACTGATACCAAATAAAATCTGCTCTCAAAAAGTGATGCATGCTTTGTAGTTCCTGGGAACAGCACTATAAAGTTACAAAGTGGTGTCACTGTCGAGTTACAGCCTTATTTGCAATGAATTACTATATGGTTATGAAGTCTTTTGTTGTCATTAATCTAATATATTTCTATTCTTATACAACAAAGCATTGTAGGCTATACATAGGTAGGATAATATTTGTCCCAATATTAAAAACATTTTAATACAAATGATGGTGTTTATAACCGAAATGAATACAATATATTTCTTTTGGCACTGATCACTGGTAGTTCCTGGAAAGCAGAATATAAAGTTGGAAAGTCAAAACAGTAGATATTAAAAATATTGTTCAAAATCAGGTAGCCTATTGTGTAAGTAGCCAGCTCTATCGGATAATGCCAAGTTCTGATATCTATTTATCATTTATTTAAGCATATGTTTAAGCCTAATTAATGACCAGTGTGTGCCACATGTAACTGGGAGTGCCGATGCTCAGACAGCAATGAGCAACTGTAGGAATGAAGCCAAGCGAGTTTAGGTGCCAAAACTGAAAGGTCCTTACAGGCAACACAACACACACCCACAGTGTTGTACATGATGAGAACCGCTCACTAACAGAACCTCTTCATTTTGTTTTGGCTGTTTCATGCGACAGGTATGGCTTCCTCCGATGACACAGATAGCTCCCTTAGTTCTGTGGATTTCATTCAGCTGCAAAGTTACATGGATGGTAAGACAGCACAATTGCATGATTTAGACTTTGTCATTATTTCAATTTAGCTCTTTGTAGAAGAGAAAAGTATTACTACCTAGAGTTTTCAACTGTATATGTAAATCAAAGTGCCCTGTGATAATAAATTCAAAATATATTTTGCAGTAACATCCACTGTAAAACACTGGTCATTTTTATAGACTAAATGTTCTTATGAAATATAATCTTAAAGGTGTATGTAACTTTCTCAATCTTCTGCATGATTCCATGGAAATATAAAGTTAAAACCATATTCAGAACATTCTCCATGGAGATAGATGTTTTATGCTATACAGTGGACTATTATAGCCAAAGGACCAACATTTCCATGGAAACAAGCAGGAGGAGGCCCTCCTCCTCCAGGCCTAATAAATGTCAGGTTTGTGGAGATGCAAGCCCCCAAGCTTGGAAAAAAAATGCATCAGTGGCATAAACAAACCACTGGACTGGAGTGTTTCAAATGAGGCTAAAAACAGTAGCTGCTAGCTATTATCAACACATTCTTTGTGTTGAAGGGAATTTGAGCGCTGAAAGGTTCAAAACCAGGTCTTAAATGTGTATGTATGGAATGTTTAAAAACACATAATGACATCAGCTAGTGGAACACAAAACACAAACTTCAGTGTAATCTTTAAACAATTTATAAGGGATATTTTTGGTATTTTTTCTTTCCATTTTTTCAAAATGGCTCATCCCAACTCTTGAGGAGGAGATAGACTATTAATGCACACTTCCTAAACATTGAACAAGAGCCAGTGAAGTGTATTATCACATGGCTGAGAGCAGAAAAATCTCTCTTTTAACCTTTTTACCTGTCTTTGCAGATAGCAACAAAAGAGTGAAAGATGTGTTAAAAGATTTTCATCCTGGAGGAAAACTGGCAAAGCACACATTTGGAGAGGTGAGTGAATCCACTGCCCTCTCAGCCCACTGTCTCATGCAAGTGTATATGACAGGTTTTCATGTATTTCTATATATTACTTGTTTAGTAGAATACTACCTGTAATAAATACTTATCATCATAATTTTTCATCAGTGGCAGTTTGTGGAAAAAAGTTTTAAGAAAAGTACAAAAATAATAGGAAGTAGCGCTGAGTGCTAAAATGCACTCCCTCTACTTATGTCATCAACTTTAGGCCTACATCAAAAAATGCAGAGACAATTTACTCACAAGGAAGGCATTTTTCTGGTAGTTTGAACCTTCATTAACAAAATGAAACATTTTATTTATTTTTATTAGTCTAATCATATAAGTATTGTGTAATTGTGTAAAATTTGGCTCTAAGATTATGGTTCCTAGGTAACAGTTATGGAATTGCTTTACGTCATATATGCTGCCCTGTGTCCAACCAGGAAGTAAAATGATAAACCTCACCAAAATTACAAAACTAGAAAAGACTAATCAGTTTAAAAAAAAAATCTTAAATATAATGATCAGAAATCTGAAACAGTCTAACCTGTCATATGCAATTTAAAGTCTTTGTTCCTTTTGAGGCATCATGAGGTCCAATATTACACAAAACTGACTCTTGTGAGCTTTAAATCATGTTATAGTGCTGTTACCTCCTCCTTCTACATTTCCAAAGCTCAAAATACTCTGTTTAACATTGTGACATCATGAAGAGGTAGTTAACAGATACCTTTTACTTTTAGTTCAGTAGAAATGAGCAATTCTAGGACAGAAATTATTATGTGGCCTTTGAAAACACAGAGGAGCACTTCCTGTATTACCACATGACATCACAAGGTGGAACAGAGTTTTTTTCTGTTGGAAGAACTCAGCCTAAATATGCAGGGTTTGTGTGTTAAAATGTGTGAATAAAACAAAACACAACTCCAGGAATCTTTGTGATGCGGACACAAGATTATAACATAAATCAGAACTAATAACTCATACTCCTCCTGTTGTTGCTTCTCAGTGTTTGAATGAGGGGGGCTTCTCTCTCTTCCTGAAAACATATTTGGATGTTGGTGATGTTCCTCCTGATTTCTGCAAACATCTCTTTCAATATTTCAAACACGTGGATCACAATGGAGGAGGGGCCTGTCAGAAGGGAGGTAATGACCTTGTGTGCAGTTTAACTTATATTTATCCATTACACTTCTTTTTAGATCACCATGTTACCTTTTACACATCACTCAAAGCATCAGGTTTGTGAACTTGTAGTGTATTGTTTTGTATCATGCTTTTGTATATTTATGGATAATTGTCATGTGGGAGCATGGGTCATGATTGTGGGTGGAGCTTTGGACAGAATCTTACTGCTAACCGTAAGGAGGATTCAAATAGGGCCTTGGAGAGATCACAAAATTACTCATGTGCATGGATGACATCTAAATCCTCTTCTATTTTTGAATGAGGAAACAACATTATGACATGGTCGAAAGCTCCAAAAATTCAGTTTTGTCTTTAAGAAATCATTTCCAAATATTCTTGCTTTATTACATTACATTACTTTATTATGTCTGCTTTCATTTCATAATAGTAGTACTAGTTGAAGTGGAAGAATCAGATTGGAAGTGCAATGTACTCTAAACAATACAAATAATGATAGAAGTATTATAGCTGTTGTAGTACTAGTGTATTTAATAGCACTGGTGAATGTTGTGTCTCAGGTGGAGTTTTCCTTCGGGATGTTTCCTGTTACTTTTCTGTTCTGGAGGACGGACAGCCACGAGACAAACTTGAGTGTAATGTCCCAGAGTAGTTTTTTATATAATGTATTTGAAGATCTTTATATCATGTACAGAATTTGCATGCTTTTCATTTTTGTGTCTGTGTTTCCAGTTACATTCAAACTCTATGACAAAGACATGAATGGGCTCCTGGACAGTTCAGTAAGTGTCAAAGTCAGGTAGTAGTAGTAGTAGTAGTAGTAGTAGTAGTAGTAGTAGTAGTAGTATTTGCATTCATAGAAGCAGAATCTGTAAATTGAAATAGTAATGTCAGTGTCAGAAAATAACTGTATTGATTCTTAGCAGTGACGTCATGCTGGGGGTGTATGTATGTATGTATGTGCATGTACGTCTATGGAGGAATGTTCATGGTGACACAATGCACACATTAGCAAACACCGCAAAAAAAGTTTTAAGAATAAAATGCAAGAAGAAATACAGAATGGATTTAAACAACATATTTTCAGGAGCCTGTGATCAATACGAGCATTCATGTTTCTTTTTAGATGTTTGATTTTAAACAAAAATGTGAGAGTGGTTAACTGAAATACTTTTGGCCAATTAGCTTGTGACAGTAACTTGATGTGTGAAAGACATTAATCAGCACAAATCATCTCACCTGTTGTAGATCTAGATAAATCTGCTCTTTCTGGAGAGATTGTTTGAACAAAGCTCAGATTAAAATCTTGAGTAACAAAGCCTCAGACAAAGCAGAGTCTAAGTATCACACCTCCAGAGAATGTTGATGACATCAGCTGCAAGGTATCAATTAGTAGTAGTAGTAAAACTAGTAATAAAAGCAGCAGTAGTTGTTGTTGTAGTATCAGTAATTAGTTGAGTTTATTTGTTTATTTATCAGGGACAATGCACATAAAAACATTGATCTACACAAAAGAGGTATTAAAAATGTGCCAGGTTATAGCAAAATTGTACATTTCCGCCTGCAGTCCCTGGATAGTATATATTTGGTTCTAGTAGTAGTAGTAGTACTGTTTCATTATGAATATGTTGTAAGCATACATTTTCTATCTTCAGGAGGTGGACCGGATCATCACCCAAATGATGAGAGCAGCAAATTACCTTGGCTGGGATGTTACTGAGCTCAAACCTGTAAGAACTCTTACTGAAGATTAAAAAAATATATAATAAATTAAAGATAAAAAATATATATATTGCAATTTGTAGCTAGAAACCTGTTAAACATTGTGTTTTGGTGTTTGCACAGACGCTGAAGGACATGATGAAAGCCATAGATACGGACAACAGTGGGACAGTGACTCTGGAGGAGTGGGTCAAAGGAGGAATGAACAACATCCCTCTGCTTGTGCTGCTGGGGCTCAAGGTACTAAACCACTGAGAAATGTGGTAGTAGGAGAAAATGTTTTCCATAGATTTACACTGATGTAAATGGTGGCTCAGGTGATTCTGTTCAATTTATGGAGTAAAAATACAATTTATTGCTTTTGTTGGTCGAAGGTAGATTTTTTTTTTCATACTGGTCAAACAGATTGGTCTGTGGTGGTCTGTGGTGCTAAGAGTTTTATAGAGTTTTCTCTTGCCCTTGTGTGTCAGATGACAGAGAGGGATGGGCAGCACATCTGGAGGTTGAAACACTTTAACAAACCCACGTACTGTTCAGTGTGTGAGAGCATGCTGCTGGGGCTGGGCAAACAGGGCCTCTGCTGCACATGTGAGTACGCACTCTGCGTGAGCACGATTCCAGATAGTTTTTTCAACATCCACTTCTTTTACAAAACAATAGTCTTTACTTCTGCTCAAATTGAGTGAATGCAGCCCCGCACATACAAAGTAATAATGCCGTTGTAACTGCAAAAATGCAGAGTCACCAATAGGGGGCAACTGTGCTCTTTTGACTAATGCTTTTTGAGACAAGGAGCAACACTAACACACATTTGAACTATAATTAAAAAAGACATTTGACAAATTCACAGTCAAATACACATGAATGACCAGACCATTTAATGAATGACAGAATATGATTTTTTGAATCATAGAATTATTGTTCAAAGCTAATAATATGCCTTGAGTAAGATTGTCAAAAATATCAGAAATGTCATACTAATCGATACTAAAACTAGTATCAAAACTAGATACTCATGTGAGCAAGCATCAATACTAAAAAGTCACATTAACAAGACAGAAACAAAGCTTTCCTAAATAGCTTTAGAATGATCTTGAGCTGTATCAGAACAAGTATAAGAGCATATAGTCTAGTATACACCCATGGACACTATAAAACCTACCTGGACCACTGAGGGATTACACAGATATAAAACCACATGGGAATAGTGATACAGTAATATTGTATAGTAATGGTAATATTGTCTAAAGTGAATGTGAATTCTATTCTAGAGATTTTTTTTTTTTAATCATCGTGGTATTGGAATAATTATTGAGTATGAAGCCTATTTCTTAGTACTGAAACTGAGTTTGAAATTTTAGTATCTTGACAAAATCTATTACAGAGAGTAGTAGTTTAATCCAAAAATTCTGCATTCGCTTCTTCTTTTTATCCAGGCTGTAAGTACATAGTTCACAACCAGTGTGCCAACAAGAACCCTGAGCCCTGCGCACGCACCTTCGTCAAATCCAAGAAGGAGATTGGTGTAAGATTCTATTTTTTAAACTTTATATTTCATGTTTTTGTCCTTTTTGTCCTTAGCTAGCAGGTCATAGTGATTATCTAATAGTTGTTTTTGCTAATCCTAAAAAGATAATCGAAGTGAGTTTATTGGGTTATAGAAGCAAATGCACCACTAAAAGGGAGATTAGAGGATTTTTCAGAGCTATGTTTTTAGGCATGGATTATAACTGACTTTTGACAAGAAATATTCCTGTTTTAAAAGTGGGAAATACTGAGTTAATGGTCCTATATTACGCAAAATTTACTATTGTGAACTTTACGCCATGTTACAGTGTTGTTTTGTTACCTCCTCAAAAACAGACCTGGAGTTGTGCTTTGTTTCATTTACACATGCTTGAGTGATCCTTTATTATTAGTCTGTCTACATCTTCAAAGCTCAAAATTCTCATTTACCACCTTGTGATGTGATGCAGTGGTAGTTTTCAAGTTAACAGCTGTATTTTACATTTAGTTCAGTAGAAACTGGCAACTCCAGGGCTGAAAATATCCAAATGATTCTAGTGAAGGTGGACTTTAAAAAATGACATCACAAGTGTCTTCTGTTCAGCCTAAATCTGCAGGGTTTGTGTGTTAAACATGTGTGAATGAAATAAAACACAACTCCAGGTCTGTTTTTGATGAGGAAACAACATTATAACATAGGTCAGAAAATAGCCTAATATGGGCCCTTTAATTCATGTTTTATATTATATAGGCTCTCTACAATTTAGTTTTTTAGTATACTAAATAAATATGAAATGCAACCCTAGTTCTCAAATAAAATACTAACTTGTGTTTGCTAATTGTGACTTCTACAAATGTCAAAGAAGCAGTCAAAAAGCTCAACAAAAAGATTACTGTATATTTAGTATTTTGAAGATCAAATGTAGTACATAAATAAACTTTAAAATACCTTTAAAATTACAGTATTCTATTGCCTGTGTATACTAGCTTCTACTACTTCTCCACTTCTAAGACTTCTAAGTCACTTTTACCTATGAAAATTCTATACTCATAGGTTGGGTTACATAAGTTACATACATACACTGGGTAACATATAGTGTAATATTAAAGTGGAGGACAGGTCAGAATTCTATGGTAGAATTTGCCTATTAACTGTAAAATACAGATGTTTTGACCTGGATTATGGTTAATATTTCTGTAATTACTGGGCCTGTACACATGAAACAAAACTGACACAAAGTTGTCTTAAAAATATATATATGTTACAATTCTGTGGCATTATTTAAACACATAGGTATGATAGTCATCAGCTGACATGACTTGAAAACACAAGATTAATATGGCAATTTTGTGAACTCAATCCTTAACAAAAATGAATTCAACATTTGTGAGTTTCTATCAAAAGCAACTCAGTTTCCGTAGAGTTACACCGGCCTCAGCTCTCCATCTAAAATTATGACTAATTACAGAGATTTTAACACACCTATAAGATTACATTGTTTTCCCAACTATGTTTCCAAATATGTCTTTTACATTGGTCAATTTTTACAAAGAAAAACGTGAAATGCCACAAACTTCCTCAGTTGCAGAAGGATGTGTCATCAATCCATATTGCTTAATTTTCCATAGAAATGTCCATATAAGCAATATGGCAATATTTTATCAATAACGTCAGCTTTTAACCAGACTAATCCAAAATAATACTGTGACCTGCTGCAGTTAGGAATGTTTGTGTTCACATACATGTTGAATGACAGCAATTTTGCTGATAAATGAGCCAAATAGGAGGCTGAATGTTTACACAATTATTACAAAACTTACTAAACAAATTATATTATATCTGAAAAAATAAAGGTAATATGTTATGTTTTTTTTTTTTTTTTTTTTAAAGTTCATTTCTGAACTGTCAACTTTATTTCAACCACTATCATTTGTCTGTAGAATTTAAATTATGGAGATATGTAGTAGTGTTAATGTTGCATAATTGTTTGTACCTCTACCCTACAGAAAAAGGGTCCTGAGTTCAATTCCCTTACCATATGGGGCATTTCTGTGTGGGTTTTGTATGTTCTTTCTGTACATCAATAACTGTTTCTAATAGAGTTATAGTGATACTGCTGATGTCATCATCATTTCCTGGGGGTGTGATGCTAACTGTAGACAGTTCACAATCTGAACAGAAAGGACTGGTTTATATAGAACTGCAAAAGGTGATCTGATTTTTTACTCTTAAACAAGTAACCCTCAAATTGCATCACTACAGTCACAAGCTATTAGCCAACTGTTCTTCAGTCACACTCACATTTTTGTGGAAAATCAAACTCCTAAACAGGAACATGAACGCCCATGTTGATCAGAGGATCAGAGGTGTTTCTAAAATCCATTTTGCATTCTTTTTCTTATGTCTTTATGTACTCTCATATTTTCTTTTATTCAGAAAACAAAGTTGAACAGAAAATGCTAAAATGTCCACTCTTCTTGTTTGTGTTTGTATCTGTGTATGTGTAATGGTTAGTGCTAATGTCAGTGATCACTAAACATGTAAAAAAATGTTTTGTTTTTCAGATTCCAGCTCATGACTTCATTAGGGCTTACTGCAAATCAAACAAATGCGAAGTTTGCCACAAAAAAATCAAAACTTTAGGAGGACGGAGCTGCATTTGGTGCCATGAGTGTGTGAGTGTGAAAATGAATATACCAAATCATTAACAAACAACACAGCTATAATTCTTATTTAGAGTTTAGAGATTAATTCTACCAAAAACAGATGGACAGAAACTTTTTTGTTTCCTTGCAAGGTAATTTGAATTTGAAGAATGCAATAATTTCAGAAACTATAACAAAAAAAAAATGCAGATTTATAACATTATTTATTTTACTTTCATACATCACCTATCCAATGCTGTTTGCAGTGAAATAAGTGTTGAAAAGATTGAAAAGGTCTACATGTGTAATTATTATTTGTCATTTGTAGCGTCACGATGAGTGTTGTTGTTGGCATTAAGATGTGTGATTGTGGACCGCTGAAAGACCACATCCTCCCTCCCTGGGCCATTTGTGCTGTTTCCAAGGTAACGTAGCAGTAAATACAGTATAAGTATAAGTATAAGCTTTCCTATAGTAATTTTCACCATTTTGTAATGAATATGTTTTCTGTGTAGGATGAAAATACAGGGCTGTTAAATGTAACTCCAGATGGCCACAACTTACAGGTTTGTTTTAGGGTTCAACTTGATTTATTTTAATTAAAAGTGCACTATGTAACATTTCTGTTGGGGGTCTGCCACCTGTTTGTCTCCATGGAGATGCTATTGCTCTGCCTGAAATACACTGAACTTATCAATGCATGTGTTTTACTGTGAAGAACCCAACAATTACTTGCTTTAAAATATAATATTTTAAACATTAATAAACAATGCTTTGAACATTTTTAAACATTGTAGTCAAATATTAGCTCAGTTGTAATCAAAACTGCTTGTGTATGTGCAGCTCTCATACATACAAACTCCTATAACTATATTATTATCTTTTTCAGGTTTTCCCAATTAAAGACACCCATCCTCTGCTTGTATTTGTCAACCCAAAGAGTGGAGGGAAGCAGGGGGAGAAGTATGTTCACACATCTTTCTTTTATCTTATATGACCTCTACAATTCATTTATATTTTTGTAATGACATTAAAATCATATATTTTCCAGAGTGCTGAGAAAGTTTCAATATCTGCTAAACCCTCGACAAGTTTACAATTTATCCAATGGAGGGCCAGCTCCAGGGTACAGAGCATTTTACAATTAAAGCCACAGTATGTAACTTTTATCCCAAAAAACTGAAAAGCATTTTTCTTTGGTCTTCATTTTGTTTTTTATTTTTTATTCCACTGAAAAACTTCCTTTAAAAACCTTCTAAAAGTTACATACTGTACCTTTAAGTCATATGTAGATTAACATTTTCTTATTTAATTACTAAAATAATTCCAAATATCAAACATATTGCTCTGTTAATTATTTCTGAGATTAATTTAGATTTTCTTTTCTTTAGTTTAAAATTTTTCCACAACCTACGAGATTACAGGATCTTAGTTTGTGGCGGGGATGGTACTGTTGGATGGCTTCTCGACGCTATAGGTGATAATCATTCATGCTGTAATGTTCCACAGTAATGTTTTAAACTTTAAAATAACCAAAGTTGTTGCTGTGGTTTTCAGATAAAGCCAATCTCCCGGTTCATCCTCCTGTCGCAGTTTTACCTTTGGGCACGGGGAATGACCTGGCTCGCTGTCTACGCTGGGGAGGAGGTAAGATCGTTTTATTTATTTTTTACTCCTCAGCTACGTATATTTGAAGAGGCTTTGTGCTTTGTTGACTGAGAGATCCATGTTTCATTTACATTTCCCAATCTCATCTGATTGCTGAAGCTAAGCAGGGTTCGTCATGGTTCGTAGAGATTCAAGATTTTACTGTCATTGTCAAAGAAAACAACAAAATTATGTTTAGAGCAACATTCGTTGAGGATGTAAAGCTAACTGAAAGCACTATTCTGACTGAAACTCATTTTAGACTAAATCTTTATCAAGCTTTATTTTAACAACACAATCTGACCATAAAGAGCTGACTTGGTTGGAACTACAGGTGATATGATTTGTGCCATTAAACAAGTCTCTTACACATAAAATTGCAATCACACCTTTTTGTTGATCATCAAACACCTAAACATGACCATGATCAAGTTAGAAACATTTAGAAAAATCTAAATCAAACAATGAAACTGTCACCGTTCAATAGTGTTGTCACGATATAAAAATTTCAAACCTGATTTTGATATGAAGGAATAGACTTGATACTCAATACCAATTCCTATACCAGGATGAGGACTGTTTCTGGAGACAGAATATTGTGAATTTCAACATTAAATCGTAGTACTTTCTTTTCGGTTCAAATGTGGTGTTATATCTGTGTAATCCCTTATTCATCCAGGTTCCATAGTGGTCCATGGGTGTATACTAGTCTGTCTTGTTCTGATACAGCTCAAGATCATTCTAAAGCTATTCAGAAAAGGTTCATGCTCAGATCAGATTTTTGAAACTTTTGACAGCTGTTCTGGTCAATAAAACACATGAAATTCTATGACTTCTTTTTTGATATCTTGTGGATTCAAATGTCACACAGCAGTTTAACGTGAGTCATATCTAGTTATACACATATTTCAGTCAGTTACACACATGCTATTACTTTTCGTCATTTATTTTTCCAGCTTTTAATGGTCTCTCGTGAATATGTTTGTCAGGTTACGAGGGGGGAGACCTAGAGGAGATCCTGAAGGAGATCGAGAACAGTGAGGTGATCGGGATGGACCGCTGGAGCATCAAAGTGGTGCAGGATGACCCCGAGGAGGTGGGAGACCCGGTGCCCTACCAGATCATCAACAACTACTTCAGCATCGGAGTGGTGAGTACTACTATTAAAACTACTATGACTACTACTATTAATACTACTACTACTTACAACTAACAACTACTTCAACATTGGTGTTGTGAGCACTGCTACTACTACTACTAATACTACTACTTACAACTGACAGTTGTAGTACTAAAACTACTATGACTATGACTATTAATACTACTACTTACAACTAACAACTACTTCAGCATCAGAGTGGTGAGTGATGCTATTAAAACTACTATGACGACTACTATTAATACTACTACTACTTACAACACTACTAACAACTACTTCAGCATCGGGGAACGGTGAGTGCTGCTACTAAAAGTACTATTACTGGTTCTATTAATACTATTACTGCTATTTACAACCAAGGACTACTTCAGCATCAGAATGTTGCTACTTTAACCTGTTACTGCTACTGCTACTAATATTATACTAGCAATATGAAAACAGAGTTTGGACCCACTTTTTCTTTTATTTTTCTTCTTTGTTCCCAAGATTATTTACATTGTAGATTCTCACTGAAGGCATCAAAATTATTATTATTTTTTTATTTAATTAGCCACCCTTTGCTTTGATTGATTGATTTGATTTTTTTCTTTGCTACATGATTGTATCTCTCTTGTTTCATATATCTGATGTCTTCTGTATGTGTATAAAATGTAGAAAGTAGTAAATGTAAAGAAAAAACTTTACAGACGGGTAGTGTAGTGTACCTCTACTACCATTATTACTACTGCAGCTGCTACTACCAACTTTCCGTCTAATACTGCTACCACTAAATGAACTTCAGTGTAACGACTATAGTGCTATTCAAACTACTCCTATTATTAATATATAGTTCTAATTCCACTACTACTGTTGTCTCTTACCAACTAACTTCATGTCCTGTGTCATATATTGACTGTCCCACCGTTGTACGTTACATTCACTGTAGCTCTGCCTCTTATCTCCTTCCCAGTGCCTCTGTCTAAATCATATGTTCTTCTTCCATTCTTTCTGAAACACACCTGAACATACCACCATACCGTATTCATAACAACAGAAAGCTGCAGCTGTATAATGAGCAGCTTGGTTCCACGTGGGATGAAGTCGCTGATTGATCCGATTAAACCTTAATTGCTTCCCTCATTTACAGGACGCCTCGATCGCTCATCGCTTCCACTCCATGAGAGAGAAGTACCCACAAAAATTCAACAGCAGGTACCAACACCTATGGTCTATTTCAATGACTTTAGTGTATTTAGGACTCCAGGACTGATGGCAGTGAATTAAAAATAGCAATTCAGTGAAACTAGCAAATGATACTGAATACTCATAAACAGGTTCATTAGGTTAATCAGAGCAAAATAATGGGTAAAGTACTGGTTAATTGCCCTGTAATGCCTAAATGTAAATTGCTAATCTAAATTATAATTCTGATACTTGTCAGAAATATCACAATTACATATAGAAATATTTGTATTAACCTGCTATGCATGACCCTTTTGCTATTTTGTTTATTAATAAATTCCTGTTCCTTATAGGGAGCTTGGCTCCAAATTTGTTCCTATAACTGCTAGCCTCGTGAGCTTCATTTGACTGGAACCAAACACTATGGATGATGTCACAGTCTTTTAGTCCACTTCTTCATACAGGCTATGGTTTTAACCTGACACATGTTCCAGGGCATTGGACACTGCATACAGGCAAGAGATTGGCTTGTAAGAACAGTCGGATACACCACACCTAAGAGCATCCATCTAGATCCTGGGGTTAATATTCCTGGAGGCATATGTCCTTTCTAAACCTGGTTTAGGGCACCCACATCCTGGCATATGCTCAGATGCACAATCTCTTCAAAAGGACCTGGCGGAACTGTGCTTCATACCTCACCAAAACAGGCAAAGGCTTTCACATAGGCCATCAGCACAGTTATGGTTGGAAGCAATGTAGTTCTGTTTTAAGCCACACTGAATCCCCAAAACCTAGGGCCGAATATGTACATCTAAACCATGGTCTAAACACACCCCTGGATCTGTTTGGCTTTCATCGGGTTTGGAAAGAACGTGTGTCTCCTACAGTATTAACACTGGGATCAGGATGGATGCTCTTAGCGACTTTGGGGTGGTGATTCCGTTTGATCTTATGCACACAGATGGATGTGCGCAGTGACCAATGCACCACTAACCCCCAAACACATCTATTCTTCTCTGGTGACATCTGCAGACACACCCAAGCAAGTGAGCAGGTAGAAAGAGAAGCCGCGGGTCCGTGTTACCAACCTGGGACCCCAACAGAAGCTGCTCATTAGGCCCTCCACACATCATATAGCTTTCATTTATAATGGTGTATTACCAGCTGATGGTCATTTTTTTGGTGTTGAATAAATATTATTATTATAAGTTTTATTATTTAAGTTTTGTGACATAAGTTCATAATTCTAACTATAAATGAGCAACATCAGTCATACACTTGCTAGAATGCCTCACACTGGTGGTGTTCCAGTTTTGTTTCAATATCAGTTTTGGAGCCTTTTACGACCACATCCGATTTCATAAAATGAGAAACAGTTCTTTTCTGGTAACTGTAATAAGTAATAGAAAAACACGCTATATTTCATAATTAATTTAGTATTTTAATAAAAAAAACAAATAATGATCCGTTATTAGTTATTTAATTGCTGTTTCTGAATAGAAATAGATACCCAAATACCCATAAGTACAATTCTAAGTACACTAACATATCAGTAAAGTAATGTTTATATGTTATGTATGTTTGCTTGTTGTATGTTGTTGTATTGTGAATGCATTAATTAGACCTTTCTCTTTTCTTACAGAATGAAAAATAAACTTTGGTATTTTGAGTTTGCCACATCGGAGACCATCTCCGCTTCCTGCAAGAAACTGAAGGAGTGTCTAATTATAGAGGTAACTGACACTAAAATACTGCAAAAAGCTATTACAGATAATTAGCTGTAGTGGTTCATACAAGAGAAAAATGCAAAGGGTTAAAACCTGAAACATGGAGAGTGGTTAATTTGAAGATGTTGAAGAGTGCATACTTATCATAATCCATTGCAGGTAGTACATGTAGGGTTAAAAGAGTAGCTGAGCCATCTTCCAAAATAAAAACACTGTAAATGAAAATCCACTGCTTGCAACGATGAAATGTCACTATGAAAGGTGGGACCAACAGAGAAGAG